GTCTTTATTTCTGTTTTCAAAGTTAGGTCGGTTTACACAGCGTCAAGTATGTTAGGTTTGTATTTAGCTGAACTACGAAATGAATCACTAAACAATGAACTGAGATATCCTGAGTCCTGACTTACGTTATTCCTTATCAGTGGACAACTCAAGTACGTAAAATGGCGGGGGGGGGGGGGGGGGGGGTAAATCAAGTTATAACAATTACAATATAGAATACCTATACACATATAAAGGTATCATATCAAAAGTAACAAGTAAAAAATATTAGGAAATATAAACTGTTATACGAATGCATCAAATAAAATTCGATGATTATAGCTTGTAATATTTCAGTAATTTGCTTGGAATTAAAATTGATTGCTTTACGAGTTGAGTGGAATATTGCAACCTTCTGAATTTGTATGTACGCTAGTTCTTTAGTATGAGAATTGGCTGGTACCGTATAGGCTAAAAAAGAAATATGTGTTCCAAACGTTTTTAATATTCCATTGGCATAAAATTGTGAAAAATACCATTATTTATTTTACCAACATTACCGACCTATGATTCCCCCAACAGAGGGAGGTTAAGTTACTTGACATCCGTGAGACAGTTATGTAAAATAACCACCAGCTCTGCGAAGCTTTTAGGGGGGAGGTTCGCGCATTTTCATCTCTAAAGACGATAAAATTGTGTACAACTACTTTCTCGGAAATTAGGAATAATTTCCCTGTAAAGTAGTTATAAATAATTATTACCCGATGTTTCTTTAAAAAGGAATTAATAGAAAATCGCATTTTCATTGAACCTACCACTTCCGTTAGACTCAAAGATAAGTTGGGATGGAATAATAAAATGTTCTCAACACTTGAAAACATTCTTCTTTCTATTTTTAGCAATAATTGTTGTAAATAATCTTTGGTGTAAAAAGAAAAAATTTTAAACAATTTTACACAAATTTTGACATCTTATTATTTACGTTTTTCATAACTTCCCCTTTCCTAATATCTCATTTATTTATTTGGTTGGCTTGAGTCCAGAGCGGGTCAAGGTACAATATTACGGTCAGTCTTGAGACAATAGCCTTCCGGTCACCTTACTATAGTATAGTTCTAGGCTGCACATGCACGCACCACACTCAAGTCTAAACTATGTTTATTTTTGAAGAAAAATACTTTTATCTGTATTCAAGTTAACCATTCAATTGGGTTTTGTCTAAGTAAAGGTAGCCGTAGACCAGACTTTGAATAGTCTTTCTTGACGCACACATTGTAATTTAATTATAATCAAAAATCAAATATGATCTTTATCTTGTTAAATGTTTTAATTTTTGTAAAGATCGACGTTTGGTGTCTTCTGTTTAGACATCCAATTACCGGGTAAATGGCATTTTAAAAATTACTTAAAAAGAGTTGATCATATTTTGGAAAGTTTACCCAAGTCGTGACACGTGCAAATTAGTTTTGATACATTTAGTTCTTCAATCTCAATATAAACGGTTACAGATAAGCTTTATATCGTCTCTTAATTATTCAATGGAACGGGACTGTTTGTATTACCCAGAAAATGTTTTAAAGGGACTGTAAGCGTAATTTCAAGTGAACCTCCACTCAAAAAGATGGCAATACCCGATTTTCAACAGTACCCTTGAAACCATTACCTGATCTAAAATGAAGAATATATTATATATACCCTTGAAACCATTTATAAAATTATAAACATAGATATCCAACTCATACTTGATCAGACAAAGCTTTTAAGGGTACCGTTGTGAAGGATTGTTGCCAACTTTGCAAAGAGGGTTACTTAAAACTATGCTTACAGTCCCTTTAATAATTGTTATGAATAAACAATAGTAAATGAGGTTTTGAATTCGAAAATCAATAAAAGGTAGTTAAAAAAACTTTATCGGATTATTGTATAAAGGAATTGAGTCTTTGTAACAAACTCCTAAATCGTTGCAACCTGATGGTTGGTTTAAACCTTTGCTATTTCAAATTTAGATTATTTGATCTAACAGAATCCATAGTTTGAAATATCTTATAAGGTCATACGACGAGTTTGTGGCAAAGACTCAATTCCTTTGGTTAAAATTACATTTGCTAACCCATTCTATTTTAAATTAAAACGTGAAATCTAAATTTGAAAAATCAAAATAGAATAAGGGTGCTGGAAGGCATCGTGGTGCAACTCAGTTTTACTGTTAATAAAAGTACAGCTAAGCCAGACCAGTGTAAAAAAAAAGCTTTCAATCTAAAAAAGGATAGAAAAAAATTATAAGCCTTTGCCACAAAATCTAATTTTTAATCCTTATCATTTTGCTTTGCAACCTTACGGTGAAAACCTTTGATATTTCAAACTTGGATCATTTGATCTAACACAATTCATAGTTTGAAATATCTAAGTTCTGCAACATTGGGTTGCAAAGATATAGTGATTGAAATAAAGAGTTTGTGCAAAAGACTCAAATCCTTTGTAATTTGATACAAATATAACTGATAAATCATTGTAGCACTTAAAAATTTGAAATTCCTTGGTGACATTTCTCATCAAAATTATAATAAAGACGACTTTAATTCCACTTCATACTGGTTCTGACTGAACATCATGGTTTCAAAAATATATTCTAAAACTTTTTGATAAAAACTATTGCTTTTATCGGAAAATATTTTTGTTTTAGGCTTAGCTCTAAAAACCAGTATAAAACATACTGATATGCTGAAAAATGATTGGAAGCACAGGAAAAAATTATAAGGTAGGGGGAGATGGGAGAGTGTAGTGTGTAGTTTCACGGATAGAGATGGGAGAGTGCAGTGTGTAGTTTCACGGTTAGAGATGGGAGAGTGCAGAGTGTAGTTTCACGGTTAGAGATGGGAGATGGCAGGGTGTAGTTTCACGGTTAGAGATGGGAGAGTGCAGCGTATAGTTTCACGGTTAGAGATGGGAGAGTGCAGCGTATAGTTTCACGGTTAGAGATGGGAGAGTGCAGCGTGTAGTTTCACGGTTAGAGATGGGAGAGTGCAGCAAGTATTTTCACGGTTAGAGATGGGAGAGTGCAGTGTGTAGTTTCACAGTTAGAGATGGGAGAGTGCAGTGTTTAGTTTCACGGTTAGAGATGAGAAAGTGCAGCGTGTAGTTTCACGGTTAGAAATGGGAGAGTGCAGCGTGTAGTTTCACGATTAGAGATGGGAGAGTGCAGCATGTAGTTTCATAGTTAGAGATGGGAGAGTGCAGTGTTTAGTTCTTTTTTATACCTGCAAAGCTTAGTCACATGCCATAAGCTTTTAAATTACTTTTACTAAACTGATGGCATTTTGGAGTAAGATGCTTTTAATGTTTTTAGATCTATTTGAAGAATATTTTCCAACAACATTATTTTAATTATTTTGCAACGTTTTTTTAAAAACAATTCTAGATATTTTGAAATTCCAGAATAGTCTTACTTAAGTTGAAGATTTTAGTAATTCAAACACCTGATTTATTTCATGTCTCAGGTCCATTTTTAAACTAATAAGTTATCTTTTTTAATATTTCATTTATTCAACAGTCAAAGCATTATTATTAAATTTTTTTTTGCTTAAACACAACTCAATTCTATAGTTTTAAATTTAAATATTTTAAAAGACGACCAAGCTTTTCATTCCTTGATAAGTTTCTGAAGCTTCTGCTTACCCTGGTGCTCCCCCTACAGGTTTTCCTGGAGTCCCTGGGGAAGGGGGTTTTCCTGGAACCCCCTTCAGTGTCCCTGATTCTTGTTTTCTAACGTACATAAATGGTGTGACCGGCAATGTACAGTAGCTTAACTGAGAATGTAGTATTATGGAGAAAATATTTAGGATTCATTTGGACATGTACAACGTTTTAAAGATGTATAATTACTGAGTTTGAGCTCAAAGTCGACGTTCAAAATCATCCATTTAAGTAGTTACGTTTTGAGAGTCGATTTTTTAAAATTATTAAATAACGACGACGAAAAATGTATCAAACATTCTACAGTAAACTAATTAGATATTTAGGAACATATTTCCCAATAGAAATTTGTCAATAACTCAATGTTTTGAACGTTGACTTTGCGCTCAATCTCAGTAAATATACAAAAAAACGTTTTATTTGTCTCAAATAAATCCTAAATAATTTCTCCACAATACTACACTGTCAGTTCAACTACCATACATTGCCGATCACTCCCTTTAATTAAGTTAATTGCCTTTATCTGTATAACTGCTACTTTTACTTCAGTGATTTATTAAAGTACTATGCTTTAGATAGGACATGACAAACAAATAGAGACTATAATTACTGCGTTATATCAAAATAAAATTTTTAAATTTTTTAAAAAAATTACACGGGAAACGCCGGTCACTTTAGCTAGTATACAGATATAGAAAGTTGTTTTCTATCAATTAAAAGTTGTATTTCAAAAATGTGTTGACGAAAAACTTTTTTATTTATTTAAAATATCGGCCTAGGTATGCTGCTGTGCTCTATGCATGGCATCAAGTAATTTGCACAGTGCCCTTCAATTGTCAATAAGCATATCTTAACATTCCTACATAATTTACAGAGCATATTTTCTTTCGTCAGCTGATGTTTGAAGTCAGATTATTGCGCGCAAATTGGTCGGTGTGTTCCTAGCGGGGAATGTAAACGTACTTTCACGTGACCCGCTATTACTAGAGTAGCATGTCAGATACACAAGATACCCTTAAAACCTTTGCCTGATCAAGTATGAATTAGATATTCATGTTTTTGTTTTTGCAAAATGTTTATTTTAATTAGGTCTATATTTTTTGCTAACTATTTATTGTACTAAATAAAAACAGAAGGCAGCTGCAATCCAATTCATATGTCTGCTGTTTGAAACTAGGAATATTTTTCTTACTTTCAATCGTTTGCTAAAATTATATTAAACGTTATTATTCTTACTCTTCCTACTTAAGCAAACCAATTTATGATCATTATTTTGATAATTCTAGCTTTTTTTTCATCATTTAACCTTTTACTTTCAGGGGAAGTAACTTTTTAACATTTCTTACAGGTTTCAAAAACAAAATGGCGGACGAAGAGACAGCTGTTAATGGAGTTGAAGCATCAGCTGATCCCGCTCCATCAGCTGCTCCAACATCTAAAGTAATTAAAATTATATTTCCATAAATTCAGGGTAAATCTCAATGAAAAATATACAGTAATGCTCACTTTTTTTTTTATCTGCAATGGAAACCATTTTGAGGAATGGATGTTTATTTAAATTAAGAATTTAATTTAATCGATTATTAGGAAGTGACATGCAACCCATCCCATTTACTTTTTTTCAGTATTCACTTGTGACAGACCAATATGAGGACATGATCACAGTAGAGGTAATCAATTTGTTCATCAATCAAGACTTAAAAAGACTTAATCCCCTCAAATTCAAATTTTGTAACCTAATGTTGTAGACTTTTGATATTTTAATCTGTTAATTCGCCCAGATCAAAAGTTACAAAGATCATAGGCATTTCTTTACAAAATAGATAAATCGGTCAACAAACTTTTTATAGATTTACCATGAGATGAGTATATCTATTTCTAATGAATTGATCAAACTAAAAATCGATTCATATATTGTTAAAGCAATTGATTATTTATTGAATTTGTTGATTAATGCGTTTCTCTTTACTTAAAAATAATAACAATAATTATAAAAATAAATATTACAAAATTTGTGTTTTTGGTGTACATAATTAAGAACATTTTTTACATAATTTATTTCTAAAGCTTTTAGCACCAGGGGGCTTAATCATTTTGATTTTTGAAAATTTTCTTTAAAGAACCAAGTTTATCAAGTTTTTATGAAGATTAAAAAATAAAATTAAATGAATTTGAGCCGTGTCTTAAATCCACCAAAAACCGGTTTCAATTGAGCGCCGGCTTAAATCTTGAAACATTGAATACAATCTTAAGTGAAAACAACCATATTTGAGCCGCGGCTTGAATTTAAGCCGCCGCTCAAATTATTCAAATTCGGCCTTAAGTTTATCAAGTTTTTTGAAGTTTAAATAAAAAAAATCTTTGATGAAAGGGAATGCAACTTTCTGTGACCAACTATTTAAATATCTGTAACCCCAATTCACACCTGTACCCTTCCTACTTGAAGTTTGTGAAAAATTATAAAGATATTCCTGTTTTTCTGTTTAAAAACTGATAAGTTTCTCTATAAAAGTGACATGCGGATTAAATTGACAGAGTTCAAAACTGTTCAAGGCATAACACGACAATATCTCTCTCACTGTTGTTAAGATGAAGGTTTAAAGGGTAGTATAGCAACTTGAAACTACGTTGACAGTTCCTTTAAGGATGAAAGCCTGAAACGTGTTGGAGCCCCGAATTGGAGACGGTTAGGTGGATTCCCTATTTATTGTACAGGTAATATTTAGGATATTTTATATATAATATAATATATAGTTTACTATCTATATGTAAACTTTGCCTTGTCTATCTTTCTGTTTCTTTGGGTGTGTGTCTGTTTGTATCAAATAAACGTCAAAACGGCTGAACCGATTGGGCCAAAATGGTGTGTGGGACTAAGACTTTACATGACCTCAGGGAAGGTTTATGGATGCTCAGAATTTAAAAAAAGTTGTCTGAAAAAAATTTGGATTTCTGTAAATTTTAAAAAATCCTAGAATTTTTTTTATAAAATCCGCGAACTTTTTGTTTTATATTGTTCAAAGATAAAATGCTCAGAAAGAGATAGAGCCACAATTAAAAGTTCAAATAGAAGATGGGTTCGAAGTGCTCCAAAAGCTAGCATGTTACATTTAACTAAACTTTACTTAACTTGAAGTTTTGCCTGCTGTCAAGTACAAATACTTCTTCTAAAAAGCGTTTTTCAAAAATAAAATTCTACTATACAATTCAGTTTTTCAAAAATAAAATTCTACTTTACAATTAAAATCATTTCTCCAATCTTTTAAAAGCATATTTTAATTTTTCAACCGTTGTAGATTATTTTCGTTTTGATAATTATCAATTTGTCAGTTGAGTGCTAGGCTGTCTAATAAGGATAGATTATACTCTAGATGCGCTCCAATGTCTTCTCATAAAAAAATTGTCTTAATAGCAATAAACAACCTTGGTTGTGAGTGATAGTTAAACAAATTTTGTCTGTATCTATAAATCCTTTTAAAGTTAGTTAATTCCGTGAAAAATAGCAAGATTGCATAGTATCCGTTTAGTACAAAACATTTTTACTCTGGAAATCTAGGTCAACAGTATAATAGCTGCTATAAGGGGGTGAGAACATAAAAATATTTTCAAACAATAAAAACAATTTTTGATTTAATCATTATAACAAAGATATATTTCACACACAGAGCCGAATTAATATAAAATGAGTTTTACTGAATCATATGTTCTGTACTCTATAGATATGAAGTTCTAAGAATTTGTTTATTGTGTAAGATTGCAACCTATAGGATGTAATGTACTGTAAACTAGTTATAAACCGGTTAATTGTGTTGGCTATAGGATGTACTGTACTGTAAACTAGTTATAAACCGGTTTATTGTGTTAGGTTGCAACCTATAGGATGTACTGTACTGTAAACAAGTTATAAACCGGTTTATTGTTTAGGTCAACCTAACTAGGATGTACTGTACTGTAAACTAGTTATAATCCGGTTTATTGTTTAGGTCAACCTAACCAGGATGTACTGTACTGTAAACAAGTTATAAACCGGTTTATTGTTTAGGTCAACCTAACTAGGATGTACTGTACTGTAAACAAGTTATAAACCGGTTTATTGTTTAGGTCAACCTAACTAGGATGTACTGTACTGTAAACAATTTATAAACCGGTATATTGTTTAGGTCAACCTAACTTGAAAGTACTGTACTACAAACAATTTATAAACCGGTTTATTGTTTAGGTCAACCTAACCAGATTGTACTATGATGTACTGTACTGTAAACAAGTTATAAACCGGTTTATTGTTTAGGTCAACCTATAGGATGTACTGTACCATAAACAATTTATAAACAGGTTTATTGTTTAGGTCAACCTATAGGATGTACTGTACTGTAAACAATTTAAAAACAGGTTTATTGTTAAGGTCAACCTAACCAGGTTGTACTGTACTGTAAACAAGTTATAAACCGGTCTAGTGTTTAGGTCAACCTTACCAGAAGTACTGTACTGTGCTGTAAACAAGTTATAAACTGGTTTATTGTTTAGGTCAACCTAACCAGGGTGTACTATGCTGTACTGTACTGTAAACAAGTTATAAACCGGTTTATTGATTAGGTCAACCTTACCAGAAGTACTGTACTGTGCTGTAAACAAGTTATAAACTGGTTTATTGTTTAGGTCAACCTAACCAGGGTGTACTATGCTGTACTGTACTGTAAACAAGTTATAAACCGGTTTATTGATTAGGTCAACCTATAGGATGTACTGTACCATAAACAATTTATAAACAGGTTTATTGTTAAGGTCAACCTAACCAGGATGTCCTGAGTAAATGTGTTGAGGACGCTGTAAACAAGTTTGATGAACAGAAGAATGTTCTTTGGGTCAATTTAAGGATTATACTCTGAACTTACTTAACAACATTTTTATTTTTTTAATTAATAATTAATCTTGAAACTATTTAAACTAAACATGAATCATTCGAGTTTTTGTTACCAAAAAAACGAATAACATGAAGCTGGGCGTGTTATCAAACATTCTGGATTCTAACAATAATTAATATAATGAAAAAAGACTCAATAACAAAAACCAAATTATAGTATGAGGTGGATTAAGTGAAATTGCCGTAAATATATCTTCAATATAATGAAACAAGACATTCGTATATATGTCACTAATAGCCGACCAAACGGCTGGACCGATCGAGCTGAAATTTTTCGTGGACAGTGGCCAGTGGATAGTGGCCAAGGGGTGTTTCAGGCGAAAAAAAAATTCGAAATTGTTTTTTTCCAAATTTTTTTTTCTAATAATTTTTTTCCAGCTTATTTTTTTCAAATTTATTTTCCACGGCCAAATTTTCCATGAGCATATTTTTTGATTAAATTTTGAGCTGAGTGTATTGTAGACAGGAACCTGTTCTGTACGTGAACGGAACACCCTACGGAATCAGGTAGAAGATAGAAAAAGCAGGGGAAAATTGAATATCTTGTTTCGGAGGTTTTTTATCACATTTTGTAAAACAAATAAAAATAAAAATAAAACAAACTATCAGAAAATTTTGTCTAATCATCGATAATTACGTTTTTTTCTCACCTTGTACTTAATAAAGCTCTTTGCTCGTATAAAACACTGTGTCCAGTAAGCAATTATCTTCTATAATAAACTAAAGAAAATTTTCTGAACTTTATAGAAGTTATAAGATATATTTATTTATATATATACATAAATTGGCTGATATTTTTTGAAGGATCCTAGAATGTGTTTAGAAATGATTTTTCAGTTATATGTATAATTTTTTTTTAAGATCGACACATTTGTTAAGTTCCTTTGGTTCGATTTTTTTGGAAAAGATAATTCTACCATGACTTTTATTTTTCCAATGTATTTAAATGTACGCATAGAAATAGAAATATAATTGTTTAAAGCTTAGTTAACGTTTAGTTTTAGATTTAAACTATTTAAAGTGTTTATATTGCTCACACGGAATGTGGGGTAGTGATGGGAGGGAGGGGAGAGGTAGCTCCATCAAGAAGGGAGGCGGGGAGTTCGTCTTCTACAAGGTGAATATATATTATCAACTTTCTGCCCCTGTTCCTTAAGTTTTAGGGACATTTACACTGTACAGTGATAACCAGAAAATCTGAAATAGGAAGACGACTTTTAGACTCAAGTTATAACTTTAAAAAACCCGAACAGTGCGAAACAGAGCAATTGTGCTAATGTGCAGTGTAAACAGACTCATTTCACTAAATTATTGATTTAAGAAAAATTTAGTTAAATTATTTGCTAAATAACAGCATTATAATACACTAAAGTTGCTAAAATGTCGTCTTTCTATTTTATTGTTTTCTAGTAATCCCTGTAGATCCAGTCAGTATATATTATGTACGTAAAACTTGGATGCAGTAAATACAGTTTTTGTCGTATATATCAATACAATGAAGACAACGTTCGATCTATATTTTGATTTCTACCAGCATGGTGGTACACATAATCATTAAAACAAAGAGAAGCTGTCAATTAACAGATTCTCTTGTTTTTCTTGTAAACTTACGTAATTTGAAAAGGCTTGTTGGAAATTAAAATTTTAATAGAAATGTAGTCTTTATTGTTTTCATATAAACGTACTTGTACTATTGATTTAAATGGACTATTGTTAAAAATGTACTTTTACTATTGATATAAACATAATTGTACTATTTATATAAACGTAATTGTACTATTGATATAAACGTAATTGTACTATTGATATAAACGTACTTGTGCTATTGATATAAACGTATTTGTTATACTATTGACACAAAAGTACTTTGAGTAAAAGTAATTTGAGGCAAATCGGTTTGCGGGTTCAAGAGTTATGATCGGACCTACAAATCTTTAAATTAAAAATAATGTTTAAAAATAAAAATCTTACATTTTCAGGATTTAATTGGAGAACAGGATAAGGAGTTAAAACCAGAGTTTCAGGGATAAAAATAAAAACAGATAATTTCTGAAAACGTTAATTAGAAAGTTCTTTTTAAAAAATCTTCTTTAAAATGTGATAAACTTAAAGAAAGCAGATACAAAATATCTTGTTATGTAAGATATTGTCTTGTTAAAGAAAAAAAACTAAAATTATATCAAATTTAAAATTTATTGAACAATTATTTTTCCAAAAATATTATTATCATTTAAAATGTGCGGAAAGTTTATATAAAAAAGGATAAATATATCGTTCCTCGTTGCAAGAAATTATGAAATTAACAAAAACATAAAGAAACCAAATAAAATAATAACTCTTTAAAAAAATATTAATATCTACAAAACTGCCTTACACCATTCATGTAACTGAGTTTCTTAACGACACCCTGTCTTAAATTTTGGACTTTGGAGGCTTGACATTTTTATTTTTTTATTTTATTTTGATGGATGCAGGAAGAGAAGGGGAAGGTAGATTCTGTAACAACATTGAGTGAATTGTTTAGTGCTGCTGCTAAGAAAGAACCTAAACTAGGTGATAATGGATATTTATCAAAGATGTCATGATTGAAATTTTAAAGCAATAGTTTTTATAAATAATCAAAATATTGATGATAATGTACCCAGTTTTTCCTGGAGTTTTCAACCCACTTAATATAAAATTTTTAAACCAGTCTAAGAGCATTCCCGTGGTTCAATAGAGTTTCACAATCAAAATTTGAGGAAAATCAGTCCACGGGTTCATGAGTTATGATCGGATATACAAACAAACAGACAAACAGAGATTGCTACTTTATATTTATAGATAGAGTAAAGTTAAGAATTTTAATCAAGTTTAAGTTAACGTTTTTATCATAATTTCAATGAAAACTTTTTTGATTCCTACACTTATTTGATTGAAAAGAATTGATAATGTTAATAATAATAACAATCTACCTTGTGGGCCCATATTAGATAGTGCAGTAAGTTTAAGTTAACGTTTTTATCATAATTTCAATGAAAACTTTTTTGATTCCTACACTTATTTGATTGAAAAGTAATAATAATGTTAATAATAATAACAATAATAATAGCAATAAAAATAATAATAACAATAACTGTAGAATATAAGTTTATCCTATAACTGTATATTGATTCTGTATTTCCAGAGAAAAGGGAAGCCGTCACGGTTCTGCAGTACTTGAAACATTAGCTCAGGAATCTTATGATATGATAACTCTTCTCCCGACCTATATAGAGAACACAAGAGCTGCCATTCTCAACCTCGGTAACGAGACCAAGGTCCAATTTAAGGAGGTAGAATCCCTTCTAATGGATGACAGCCAGGACGGAGCTGCTAGGCAGAGTTTAAAGAAAGTTATGGAGTCTACAGAGAAGAATATTCTCCGGGCATCAACCGAGCTGAAGGATATTGTGGTAGAATCTGGAAACATGGCGGAGAGTCTATTCGAAAGAGTGGATTCAGGATACAAGGAACTAGAGGTTAGAAAATTCGGAAAACAATCTTGTCGTAAATAATTCAAAATATTTTTATTTTCTTCTAGACGGAGATTAAAGGATTGGCTAACGTTGAACAGGTTCTTCTTGATACAGCAGACTCAGTTATGGATACTAAGCGAAAGATTGAGTTCGGAGTTCAGCAAATCATTTTCAAGGTTCAAATTTGTTAATCATTGACGAAGCACGAGTTGTGCATCGTTTTTATTCATTTTTTTTAAACATTCATGATTATTGACGCTTTCAGAGGACTCCACAAAATTTTGAGAAATTCAGGATTGTTTACACATATGTACAAGTTTTTGCTTTTATTACACTAAAATATTTCATCTGATATAAGCCTCATTGATTTTTCAAATCGCTCGTTGACGAAACAGGGGGAAATAGAGGCCCAATGTTAGTAATACACCCCTTTAGAGAAAGGCATCCGTTGTGAAGTACTGAGCAGTGCAAAGGTAAATTATCTGCAATCATCAGCTGTTGCTTTTACAAAAGTGAAAAGTGTTTTTTATAATCTTTAAATGCAGGAACTTTCTACAGAGTTTTTTTTCTAGGTTTCTGAGTTGATAGAGTTATCAGGAGGAGAAATGGATGAAAACCTGGCAAATAAGTTTGAGAGTATTACTAGAACTATTCTCTCCAATCAGACTCAAGCACTCACCAACCTTACTTCCAAGGTTAATATCATATACACATATATAAAGCTTGGCAAGTTATTAATTGTTTATAGAAAACATTGTTTCAGATTAAACAGTTAAGATTACTTTACAATTACATTGTTCAAATTTTTGACGTATCTTTGTATGAATATTGTATATACTGAAAGTTTCAAAGATTAAAGTTATTGACTTATCTAAACAGTAATGCAGTTGGGACAATATATGGTGTTATCAGGACGATGGTTCTTACAAAAAGTTATAGAATGATATCATATTTGTAGTTCTTCTTTTACTATATATACAAACTAGGTGGAGAAGGAGATTGGTCAGGTGTGGAGACAGATGGGTATTATGTACGGTCAACTCTCAAGTTCAATTGGAATACTAGAGAAGGTTTACTTTATTTTCATTTTTAAACTATAATAATAATTAAGGATACGTTTCCCTCTTATGTAGTGCTTATCTTTACTTTAAAACAAAGATGAATTCTTAATTAATACTTTGTTACAAACTTGCAAAACTATCACTAAATAAAATGAAAAAATAAAATTTAATGGCATGGATGGGGTGTGGTGGCTTCATTTTGCTTCTTATGTTTAAAATCAGAAGATGTCCGTCTTAAACGTAAACTTTTTACATTTCTTAGTTATAGTATGTTAGTTGAACTGAGAATGCAGTATCGTGGACAATTTTTTTAGGATTCATTTGAGACGTATAACACGTTTTAATGATGTATGATTACTGAGTTTGAGCGCAAAATCGACTTTCAAAATCATCAATTTGGGTGGTTACGTTTGAGAATCGATTTTTTAAAAAATTTTAAACTACGACGAAGAAAAATGTATCGCAAATTCTACAGTAAACTAATTAGATGTTCAGGAACATATTTCTCAATAAAAATTTGTCATTAAATCAATGTTAGAATCAATTATTTCAATTTCATTATTATATTGAATTTCTCATTCTTTACTGTTCGCAGATTTCTACAAAGTCTTCAAATGTCGTCTTTTCAATAAAAATTCCAGAAAATCTGTAGAAAATGTTTGTGAACAATGAGAGATTACAGAAACTAATAACTGAATAAGATTACTTTTTTGATTTTGAACGTCGACTTTGCACTCAAACTCAGTAATTATACATTATTAAAATATTTTATTTATCTCTAATGAATCCTAAAAAAATTCTCCACAATACAACATTCTCAGTTGAACTACCATACATTGCCAGTCACTCCCTTTAATCTGCTTATCGAATTTTAACTCCTTTTATCTGAATCTGATATAAATAACTAAATATATTTTAAAAACGCAGGTAAAGGAACAGACGGAAAGCTATGTTAGTAAGACGGATAAGAACCTAGGTTCTATGGATAATCAAGTAGAAGGACTCACAGACAGGTATAGAGTTTTTATACTTTTTTATATAGCCGCCCTTTCTAGTTTTTCCTAAATAATTTTAAATAATTTTTAATGAGGAAATTGAACACTTACTAATCTGTCTTTGTCCATCCATCTATCCATCTATCCTTGTCTATTTTATTTGAGTCTTCTACTTTATGCCAGGGTAACATTAGTTGGTAAGCAAACTAAATTAGTTTACCTTGCATTGATAAACTCACAAATCTGAATTTAAAAATCAAGGCGTAGATCAATTGTAAATATGTGTTATATTTACTTCAGGATGACCGAGGTTGATCAGAATCTGAACTATATGCTCGGTCAACTCAGTCTAGTGGTTCAAGAGTTCAACCAGGTCCCCCCCCCCTCCCCCCCCCATAAGCGTCCTATATAATATTGGACTATCTCCAAGCTTATAGCGCCGAAATAAACACATAATACTCAAAAACCTAGCCTTTTCTGCAAGAAATTTTTTTACAAGTCTTATTCAATTTTACAAAATGATTAAATCTTCTTAAATTTTCTCATTAGTCCCGAAAATCGTAGTTTAAACCCATTGATGATCTAATATGATATGGGACACCCTGTATATGTATTAAATTATTATATATACAGTGATCCCCATAAAACTGTGAAACAGAAAGACAACATTTAAGCAATCTTATTTAAAGTTGATGTTATAAAGCAAAAATATTTACCCGTTATAGCTGGGAAAATCAACTTAAGTGAAATGTGTCTGTGTACAGGTACATCTGCACAATTACTGTGTTTAATTTTCATTGGACTTTTTTAAAATCATTTCTATTCCACAGTTTTATAAATCTCAAAAGTATTTACAATTTGGAAAGTTTCTAAAAATATAAATATCTAAATCTGCGACTTTAAACAACTTTAATTGATTTGGAATTTTTCTCATTTGGTTTTATTTTTATTTGAACAATTATAGCCTCCTACCTAGTCCTTTTTAGTCAACATAATGTTAAAAATTTATCAATTGAAATGAATATATTTCTTCTTTAGGATATCTGTTCCCATTTTTTGTTGAAATCTTCCCTATCAAATTTAAAAGGGGGGAAATTGCTAACTAGTCTTGAAGTATAGGCTATCGAAATACCTGTATTCTGAGAATTCTAAATATATGCTATTGCATCTCACAACGTAGCTGATTGCTGACGTAGAGATAGTGAAAAAAATACTTTCTCTTCTGCTGACTATTTTGCTGCGTAGAACACCGACAGTGACTAAAACTAAATATTGGGGAAATGCGATGTTCAGAATTATTTATACAAATTCATTCAAAAATATAATTATTTTTAATTTAAGTCTATTTAAAAATATATTAACTCATAAAATGTTTGCTTTCAGGTAAAAACAGGGTTAGGTGAGGCAATGGAAGGTATAGGAGATGAACTCTTGGAATTGAAGCAGAAAGAAGAATCCTGAAAAAATCAGCCCCAGTCTTATCTTTATTTTTGCATTTGAATTATCTTGAAGAAAAAAAACATAACAGAAATAAACTAATACTTAATTTCAACTGGATTAGAGGTTTCATGATCAGATGATACAGGGTTTCCCAATAAGCATGGGAATTAAGAGATTACATTAACATTGTCTATGATTATAAATCATAAATACAGGGTTACCCACAAAGTATGAGACTTCATAGACGATTGTGCGGAATTTGTTTGGTCCGTTTTCTTGCAAGGGATTCATGTAGGCCAAAGCTGGTTTATTTCTGTTCCTTTAGTAAACCATGAAAATAGTCAATTGACTGCAGAATCTAAAATCAAGCTTTAAATAGCCATATTTTTAAGTTTTGGATCGTCTTTACAGTCTCATCCTTTGTTGTTAACCCTATATATATCAAATCAAATCAAATCAAATCAAATCAAATCAAATCAAATCAAATCAATATTTTTCCCCCGAGCATACATTACATATAGAATAAAATGTTTTTAAAGCTTATTTATTAAAACTTGAGACGGGGAGGCATTGATATGCCAAAAAGTGCAGAGAAAAGGATGCATCTTCTGAGCTTCCATAAAAGCGGGTCTAGTTATACATGTATATCTTAAAACAAATTTTGCTTTTCAGCGAATTATAAACGCTTTCAAATATTTCATCCATTTTTGAGAAAAAAACTGGTAGAGATATTTCAACAAATTCGTTATTTTTTTTGCGAATTGAAAGGACTATGAAATATTTCATACATTCTGGAAATTACAGATAGCAACTGTTGGAACTACGTATGAAAAATTTTTCTATTCATCGAACAAAAAATGGAGCATTAGATTTTATGAAATGAATAAATAAAATAAATAATAAAACTTGGCATGGTTGATTAGTAATTAGGGTTTTTCTCCAGTACACCCTGTTCGAGAAAAAGAAAAATATGCTTGCTCTTGGTTGAACAAGATCACATTTTTAACTCTCCAAATGATTTTTTTGTCCTTTTTCAATACCGATTTATTTATTTATGTACTAAAAACCTTTGCGTATTCATCATTTAAATTAATACTTATAACATTTATTAGTACTGAATACATTTACAGGTTCGGAAATTTTGAACATTCTGGAGTACATATTATAATATAGAAATATTAGAGATAAAGTTTAGGCTCTAGCAGCTGATGGTGAAGTATACACTGTAGAAACCAGATTAAAGGAATAGTTTTCAAGTGCTCCATGTTATATTTGAGTAGAGGTTCCCGCTTTCCTCCCTCCTGGTATAGAATTATGTGTGAAGTTATGCCTAACGAAGAGTTCTGCTCCGCATGATGCGGAACCGTCTTTTCTGCAACAGGAAGGTTTTCCGGATCCGGTTCTCTAAACAGAAAAACTTACATTTTTATTGTCAATCTGAGTGATTTGTAAGCTTTGTTTACCTTTTTAAAAGTTTTGCACCAGAGAGAGAAATCAGTTTTTGAATATCAGTCTTGGAGCAGTTAGGTTTATCAAACCCTCCGGTTAGATAAAAATGAAGACCTGTGAACAGTTTAGGTTGACCTCTTAACCTACAATCCTTTGATCTGGTTCGTCCTGATTGAATTAAATCCGACGATTGAAGCAAGAAATGTTCTGTATCCACCAATACGCCAAGCTGTCTGGATTGATAAATCCATTCCGAGGTGATAATCTCTGCTCCGACGAGCTGTGCAGAGTATATGTAGTTCACGTTCTTAGAACTATCTAGCAAACAATGTGTAGTTTTCACGGTTAGAGCTCTACTTGGTTTCCTAAGCTTGAGCTTAGCAGCAGCTGCGGTAATCTTCTTGAAGTCCGTATCCGAGGATTGAGGACAGGATAGGACGATATTCTCAGGGAGAAGTATATCCTGCATTATCAGAATTTATGTTAGGAATAAAACATCTTGTTTATATATAAAATATTAAATATGAATAAACCTGCTGTACAAGAGACTGATTCAACATTTGGCTGTCAGTCATTTCCAGAGGAGTTTCTTCGAGAGCAGAGATCATTTCTTCAGACACGGCAACCTCACGTGGAGTTAACCCTTGACTGTTCTTTGCTTTAATATCAGCTCCGTGGGACACAAGGAGCCGAACCACGTTGACAAAACCATTACTGACAGCATCATGAAGTGGGGTCAGATTCTCTTCTTGAGCGTGTAGATTTGGACTGGCTCCATAGTTCAACAATATTCTCACAATATCCTCTCTCCCTTAAAGTTAATATCCATTAAACTAGGCAAAATATATGCTCAGGTTGAAACAAAAAAAATTGAGACAGTTCTTAAGTTCTAAAGAAAGTTCTTTAAAATAATTCATTAAAAGTAGTTTTAAAAATAATCTGCCTCTCATTGATCTGGTGAGCTATAAACCTGCAATTGATGCTTCGTGAAGAGGGCTCCATCCTGCGTTATCTACTGTGTTAGGATTAGCTCCCTGCTCCAACAGTTTGAGAACAGTTTTATCATCTCCCTTGACAGCTGCAGTATGGAGTGCAGTTTCACCTTTTCTATTCTTTTTCTCCAAGGAGGCAGGTTTCTTTCTGATAATAATTACAAAATTTAATACAATCTCAGCTCAGGTTAGACTTATTTTGTATTAGAACAGAGCTAGATATTTTCCCAGGGGCAAATATTTTAAAGGTGGGGGGGGGGGCGCCGGGGGGAATGTAAATTTTGCATCAACCTTCATTGAAATGAATACCCCTGTCTGACAAATTAAAAAAAAATATTTATTTTTTACAAATCAACGAGGAAAAGGTAGTTTTTTCCTTCAAAAAAAATCCTAATTAACTGATTTTTCAAGAAATGAGGTTTTGACTGTATATTCCTTAAATACAGATAAGCGGTGGTGATAGTGTTCATATATTACTATTTCCATTTTACGACCCCCCCCCCTTAATCTTGTCTACTTTCACTTTCGTATGATCAAATCCTATTTTAATTTTACCTGTTTGAAAAATATGATTGATCTTCAGTAGATGGCAGTGGCAGGATGGTTTTAGATCTCCTCTGGCGAGTCGGAGATTTAAACTTGGAATCTCCTTGTATACTAGATCCTGCAACAGGTATCACAGATCTCGATCTTTTAGAAACTTGACGAGAATTTTTGTTGTTTGAAGGAAATTCCTCGGACTCTCCGACATTACTGTGGTTGGAGACCACTGGGCTAAGCTTTCTCTTTGTGTTCTTCTTGTTATTTGGGGTCTGTTTCTCAACTTGATCTTCAGTACTTGTTAAAATTTCTTCTGAAGGTGTAACCATTTGCTCCTTTAACCTATCAGGAACCTAAAATATGATACCGAGTGATAAAAATGTCTGAAAAAACAAGAAGAAAATTCTACTGAACCAGGTGTGTATTAGTAATAACTAATCCTAACCAATCTATATTTAGTATTTACGACCAAAATACAGTATAAATTCAATTTAATTTGCACCCCTCAAATATAATTCATATTTGACATGAAAGGAACTAGGAAGAAGTCATTCCGATTAATCGAATGAAACGGTTAATGTTGTTTCCCGGATTGTAGAGAAATATTAATTACGTAATTTATAAAAATCTAAAAATCTTGACGATATTTGTATTTTTTACCTGTTCACCTAGTATCTCTCCGATCTTAAAAAGACTACAAGTGAATGAATGAATGAGTTTATTAGATGATGCATCCTTAGCAGGTGCTGATGCAGAGCAACCAGGTGCTAGACATCGTCCTCCTCTTGATCTGCCGAGACAGGATTTACAGAAGAAGTGTGAGCATTGTCCAAGTGAAAAAGGGTTAACTGCAATATCCTAAAGAAACAACATAAAATACTTAGCTTTACTTCCGTTGTGAAATAAAAATGGCAGAGAGAATTGTTTTTTAGAAAACTAAAATCAAAAGTCAACTTTTTTTGTTGTTTTAAGTGGTTTTATCAAGGAAAAAAACACCAACCCTAACTCCAAATAAATTCTTGTCCGCACTTAATGTAACAGGTGTGGTCCCAAATTTGGCGAATATCGAGTCGAGAGAGATAATTCTTTTTTTTACGTGTAGATTATTACCTCACAAACAGGACATTTAAGAACGTTCTGTATCTCGGCCAGAACAGCTTTAGTTTTGCTAAAATTGTAGGTTTTAGGCACGTCCATTATGAACAGTATTGCTAAAATTTCTGAAAATAAATGATTAGACTATATGAGAATTATAAAAAAATCTACGGCGAGATTCCATATTTAACACTGATAAAAATCACAACTGGGGTTTCCAATCCAATATTTTAATTAGGAATGTGTAAATTTCGAAATTTTGATTTCTGTACATTGTTAAAAATTCTTCTAGTTCCGATAAAATAGACACGAATACTTAAAATTTAGTGTGCGAGAATAATAGTTACTTTACCGGAATCCAGGTATAAAAATTAAGTATGAATGACTTCATTTAACTGGAAAATTGAACTAAAGATTACTGAAAGGTATTTCTAGATTTGGATTGAGTTCTAGAGCACTATGCATGAATTAACTTTGGTTGATCCTGAGTAGTTGAGCAAATAACCAGGTAACTAAATGAAAGTACAACGTTGTAACAAACAAAATAATTAATATTAAAATACAAATGAAGAGTGAAAGAGTTTGTATCATCTCTTTGACCTTCCAATCCTTTCTAAAATTTCTCTTTACGAAAAATAATAAGATTTGTTTCAATAACCAACAATTCCCTACAAATTCTTCACCCTCAAACGAGTCCTTCATTTTCCATGTGTTGTAAAGCCAAATGAATTTTCCCTTCCATATCCCTTCAAATTAAAATTTTTATTCAGAATGAAACTTAAACTTTCATATTAGATTTTGATTAATTGTTTTTTTATAAGATCAATGAAATCTTAAAATGTAAATAATATCATAATTGATAATTTTTAGTTTTTATAGTACTATATATGATGGTAGTTTTTCCTTCTTTTTAGATAGACATTTACTGAGCAGAGGTAATAAATTTTTAGAAAATACACTGAAAGAATAAATACTTTAAGTACTTATACAACGTCAAAAAATGACATAAATTGAGACTATAAAATTTGTTGAGTATATGGCAGCAATTGGTAGACAAGGCACTGGTGGTTTATATTGTTATGTATAGTTGTACTAAGATGCGATGTTTGCTACAACAGGTTTAGGTTGACATAAAGAGAGCAGGTTTCCCGTCCATCTCTTTAACCCTGATCTTGACTGTACCAACTGGAACGTATCCAGCAATGAGCAGACGCATAGCCGTCTCCCTCTCAGTGTAGACAACGTATCCAAACTTAACGTGCTTGGCCCCGAACTTTTCCTGATTCTTCTCCAACCATCCCTGAAATTGCAGGAGTGTTAACTTGATCTTTGATCAAAACTGATCAATTGGCATCTAATATAGTTTTAACCCAGGCATTTTACTAGAATCCCTGTATTGTAATTGTTAAGACTTTTTTGGATCAGGTCATAGGAATTGAAATAAAACTCGGTAAACTATTTGGGCCTAAATCGGATTTCGTCTTCATTCTTTTAAATATAGTTTTAAAATTTAAAGACTGCATGCACTCTTTAACACTTTTTTTCTATTCAGTAGCCAAGTCCACTGTCAGCTGATTGTTATTGGGTCTTTATACCTGATTGTTCTGTATGAAAAGGTGCAAGGTATGACCCTGAGCCAGGAAAGCTGACCGGAGCTGCGCGTACTCAACGTCGCCAGGTATTGGACCAATCATCAGCTGTTGTTCTGCAGACCAACGTGGATCTGGAGTAGGACAAGCAGATTTGAACCAGTATTTTCCTTTCCCATATTTGTTTGTCAGGGCAACCAGGGAGTTGTCCCGAACCTCGTCCAGACTGGGTTTGTGAACGGAGAGACGCGAGGTTTTAAGTCGTGCAGCCGCTTCTTGATCTTGAGAAAATGACCAGATAGACGAGAAGGATCCAGGACGGTTAGTTGGCTCCGACAGGACGGATACATTGGAGATACTGTTCAGTGGAATACGTTGCAGCTTATTCTCCATCAAGTCCTAAATAAATCGTTAAATTCTAAAAGTCAGCTTTTTCCAAATTAGAATTTACGTGTTTAGAATGTCAATGAAAGTAGGTGATAAATATTAATTAATTCAAATCCTAGCATACATCGACTAGAAACTAGATAAATCTCTAATTCATATCAGTGTAGAATAATTAAGAATAATTATTACATACAGGAGTTCGAAACATTGGCTTTTACCAAAAACAAGTGCCTGCATGTTCAGGATCGAATATGAACCAAAATGTGAATGAAAACTTATGTGGTTAAAAAAATGTCCACTTATTCGACAGCAAGAAAAAGTTTTAAAAAAGTATTACCCTGGGATCCTCAAGCCTTGCTTGATTCGTGATTGGACATCTGCTAAATAGTGGTAAGCGAGGTACATTAAACTTGACGTCTCCTTCCTCCTGTAAAAATGAGAAGTTGGCCTGCTGCCGACTACTCGGATAAAATCCTCCAACAGACATTTTTAAGTCCTGAAATTATACATTGACAAAAATTAAACGACCAAGTTCAAAAACAACCCTTTTTATAAGACATTTAAGGAGCTTCAAGCAGATTCCTACCCAATTTGAATTCAGTAATTTCCTAGAGAACGAATCCCCCCTCCCCCTCCTATCAATTTTGTCCATGATTATCATTCGTCATGTGGCCGCAGCGGCCGGTCCCCCAGCGTGTCCTAGCCGCGGAGCTCGACCTCCCTGTCCTGACCTAACCCTAAAAAAATAAAAAATAAATAATAATAATCATCACGTACAAAATTGGGTTTTTACCTAGAATACGATTNAAAAGACCATAGAATTCTTATGAAGTGTCAAGAATTGCCGCAAAGTTATCCCTATCGAACTCATGACCCTATCCGTCATAACCTCTTACACCATGTCCTAAATGAGGGGGGCACAACAAGTAATAACAGGATTGTACAAAAACGTTTCCGAAATGGGTTTAAACGCATGGTCATTTGACAAGACACGCAATAAATTTAACTTTTCACGGTTCAATCTTTTAATCATTAATCACAAATAATATAATTAAGCTTTTAACTGCTAATATTTAAATTTGATCAACTTTAGGAATGTATATGTACTTGCGCCAAAAACATGCTTTGGGAAAAGTAAATAGAAATTTTGTCTCGGCATTCACGCTTCAGGGACTCAAGGACATTATAAACTAAGATTAAATTTCAAATTTATATCTTTTCAAAATATTTATAAATCTTAAAATTAACATTATATTTTTAATTAATGCATAAATGAAATTTATCAAAAGTGAAATCTAAGGATTTTAAAGTTTAGAAATATTACGGGGGAGAAAAAACGAAGACGACAGAATTGTTCTAATATTTTTTATTATCATGAATCAGATGATTAAGCTTGGGCTGTGAGCCTGTGAGGCTGTGAATAGTAAGATAAGCTGAATAAGCTTGATGGTTCTAAAATTTAGGATTCAGCGGATTCAGGTTAGAAGAATTAAATTTGATCTTATAAAATGCATAATGGATGGTTTTGGTTAAAATTAAGATATTTCGTAAAATTACATTATATCTATTGTTTGTGGATCCTGTTTTAAAAATGTACATAGTCAACGCAATTAGTGAATATATCACAAAAGTGTCCACTATAAATAGAGACTTCAGAAAAAGCGCTCATATCTCATCCGTTTTAAATTTACGCACGGTGATTGGATTTTGACTTAGGACAAATTTCATGAGGAACACTAGCTCCAAAGACAGTCTCTGTTCATGTATAAAAATATTTTTTCTGCTAAGGCCTATAGCTTTCAGGGAAAAATATGAATTATAATTGGCATGGTAGTTTTTGATGTAGGAACTACCAAAAGGCATTTTTATCAACTTCTCTTTCATGTCCTTCATCTTCTTTTTGATGAATATTCTTCACAACACTGCAACTAATGTGTTCCCAGGACAAAGGTCGTACAGGTGGATGATTGATCATTTTTGATCCACCCCTGCACATGACAAATTATATCCATGTGTTACATATATTCACCCAAATTCCTCCTTATATCAATTTTTATTGCAATACTTCGATGTTAGGTACAAATGACATAAATTTACTATGATATTTCTGGCCCGAACGCCCTGTGGCTAGGACAGTTACTATTAATCTTTATATTAACTTTGCCCGTTCAATACATAGAAAATGTCGTGTATTAATTAGGGGGGGTAGGGGCAAAAATCCTTCTCTAGGAAATTACCCTGTCAAGAATTCGGAGTTCGGCATTTCAATTATATTTTAAAAGTCTTAACTGTTTTCAGTGAATATGGGAGATGAAAATGAGGAGAACTTGATTGAAAAGGTTCGAAACCTGGCTGCTCGAGCTGTTCAGCACGATCAACTGAAACAGCTAAGTGCTGCGGTATATTTCTATCATGAAGCTGCAAAGGTTATGGATCAATTATATTCTTTAACAGGAAAAGATAGTTACCAAGCCCACGGAGAGAAATACAAGAAAAGAGCAGGTACCTTATAGGGCTTCTACAGTACACTACAATCATTTCAGTGAAAAACTTATTATTATTCAAATCTATTTATTATTCAAAATGCACAATAAACAGAAAAAGTACTGTAAATATGTATATTTACCTTCAACATGTACATTCTGATTTATGAATTATTTGAATAAATGCTTAGATCAACATAACAATTAACAACTAACTGCACCAGCCAAAAATTGAGAAAAGTTCAGCGAATAAGATAAAATAATGTTAAAAACTAATGTACCCAGAGCTCAAAACTTTTGTATGAAATAGTATTAGTCTACAAGTCTCAATTTCGATATCCATTCTGACAATTTTAAAATTTGATGGTGCTTTCTATTTAAAATAAGTTATTCACAAAACAAAAGTTTTGATCTCAGGCCAATTTATAAGTAATTTTTATTTAATTCATCTTAAGATAAGTGATCACGTTCATGTTGAAATCCTGATGACAATTTCTTGTATATTAAATCCTTCATATAATTGATTACTTTGCGATTAGTTAATCTTTAGATGTTAAAATATTTATATTAATTTATTTTTCTATTCTTATTTCTCAGATGAGTTGAGAAGTGTTCCAGTAAACCAGGGAGTTCCTGATCAGGTTCCAGGACAAATTCAACTTAAACGCGCCAAATCTTTACTTCTAGAAGCTCTGGACTTAGACGAGGATGGGAGAAAAGTAAATAAATTATTTTATAAAGAAATTAAATTTTCACATGTATTAATATTGAGTAAATTTATGAATTGTCAGATTAACTTTTTATCAGTTGGCCTTGTCTCACGGATAACAATTTTCTCAACTGAATTGCATTTTGAATTTAGATATGGGTTGATTGATTGATTTGCCCTGCTCACATATAACAACCATTTTAGTGGCGTTATAATTTTGAATATTTCAAAAAGTTGCAATTATAGCAAAACGTATTTTCCCAGGAAGAGGCACTGCAACTGTACACTGAAGCTGTTGAAACATGCCTGGAAGCCAAAAAGCAGTCAAATGAAGCAGCTATGCAGGAAAAGCTGGAGAAGTTGGCTATAAATGCTTTAGAAAGAGCTGAAACTTTGAAAAATGGAGAAAAACCCGAAGTTTCGACTGTAAACATAGTTCGGCCACTTGGAAACCTTAATCTTTTCGATAAAGGTAAGCGTTCAGAGATAACCATTGCATAGTGTTAGACTAATATGGTGATCCAACCCATAATGTTGGGATCTGTCCGAGCAATCCAACCCTGGTGCTGCTCAAGGCATCAAACACGACAGGTCTGGCTTGTGTGCAGGTGGGGAGATTCATTTAGTGGCTTTATAATAGATTCGATACTTCTTTAATGTTTAAGTGTGGGAAGTGGAAAATGAATAAGAAACAACATACCACGTTCTTCTCTAATCTTTTTTTGATTTGTAAAATTAAATCGTTTTAATTTACAATATATTGTTGTAAATATTTTTATTAAGGAGAACTAGATGGGAATAAGAACGGGGAATACACTGAAGAAGAGAGGAAAGTTTTAAGAGAAACCAGCAACATAAATGGAAGAGATTATGTTCCTTTCATTTCCGCAGATCTCAGGTAATAGAAACTTACTCTTTAAAAGTGGGAGGGGGGGGGGGGCGTCAAGTTCCTTCTTATTCCCCATATGTGTTCTTAACTTTAAAAAATGGTTAACCTTCTGTAGAGGGACCAAATAATTAAAGGAAAATAATCTATTTAGGGAAAGATTTGCTTTTCCGATTCCTTTCTCCGATCCACATGGTAAACTATCATTATCATCTAAACAAAGACAGAAGTTGAAGAGATGGGCTCGCCCTGATGAGTTTATGCAAGAACCTAAAATGCTTCATCTTGGTATTATAAGATTTTGAAACTGCCTTTAAAATAATTATTAAGTATCTGGTTTGAGTAGCGCATTAATTGTAAACTATTTTAGTGGATTGTTACAGTGTTAAACAGACATTAGTCTCAGATTGTAGTTTTGTAGCATCTATAGCTATTGCTGCTCAGTATGAAAAGAAATATAGGAGAAAGCTGATCACAAGTATCATTTATCCTCAGAACAAGGAATAAATTAATATGTAAAGAACATTAAGTTAAACAATATTTGAACCTAATTATGACCAAAAAGAAATATTTCTTTCTAAAAACTTGCAAAAAAAATGAATAAAATTGATTTATAAATAAATTAGAACGGAGACCCTGTTTACAATCCTTGTGGAAAATATATGGTTAAACTTCATCTTAATGGAATACCAAGGAAAGATTAATAACAGAAAATTATGGGGAATAACAGTTGCTTTGAAATAATTTTGCTATGATTTTGAAAAAAGTTGTTAAGGATCGAACGCCTTTTATTTATTTACTTGTAAGCATATGGACTTGTGCTGGAAGGGATTATAAACGTAATTTCACAACGATACCAACGATTCACAACAATACCAACGATTCACAACGATACCAACGATTCACAACGATACCAACGATTCACAACGATACCAACGTCATAACAATACCAACGATTCACAACGATACCAACGATTCACAACGATACATTCACAACGATACCAACGATTCACAACGATACCAACGATTCACAACGATGCCAACGATTCACAACGATATCAACGATTTACAACGATACCAACGATTCACAACGATACCAACGATTCACAACGATACCATTTGAAAAATTCTGATAAAGAATGCAAGATATATCAATCTTCTTCTGAGAGGCTAACTATTTTTATCAGTGGTTTCACTATGAAGCGACTCGACCATTTCTGCTTTAGAAACAATATGGAGGAAATTGTCAGAATTCCACACTAAACTAGGAAAACGGCGATTTCTTCCACATTTTGATGAGATAAAGGTTTTGAGAGTACCGATGTGAATCGATAATGCTCCTTTTTTAAAGGTCACTTTAATCCCACTTGAAGTTTACAAGTAAAAATAATGTAATCATAGAAAGAAATTATTTTATTAAAGAGCCGGAAAATATTTAAATAATTTTTCTTTTTTGCTCAAGTCTGATGCTTAATGTTTAGATGTGAGTATAATTGATTTCTCTGTTACCTTCAAATAATAGAAATTACATTTGACTGTTATTAAATAGTTTAGAAAGGTAATTGTTGACGACTATTTCCCGCTTGGTCCACACAACGAGCTACTCTGCTCCTACTCCAGCAACAAGTCAGAGCTCTGGATATCCTTACTTGAGAAAGCATATATGAAGGTTAGGGATTAACATTTCTTTACATAATACCAAGGGTATATATTTTTTTAACAGGTAATCCCTCCTTCATCCAAATAATCTCCCCCATTATTCGACGTTATCAAAATTTGATAACATGAGGGTTAGATGATTTTTGGTTACTTAGAAAACATTAAATATTTTTTTTCAACCTGTTAAAAAAGGCTGATAAGATGTTGTCATTTTTTACTCCATTACATGGATACGCACAGTTTACATTATTTCTCTAGGTGATGGGAGGATACGATTTCCCTGGATCAAACAGTAATATTGACTTATTTGCTTTGACCGGCTGGATACCGGAGCGGGTTGCAATTCGTCCTGAAGATCCGACTTTTAATCCAGATTCAGTGTTTAGTCGCCTTCATGATAGGTAATTAAATCATAATATAAAGGAATGAGTGTCGGAAAGGGGAAAGCTCCAAACCCAATGAGTTCTATTGACACGAATTTTCTCATTTCTTTCATATACAGAACTGCTCCTACTCTAGATTTCATCACGGAGATGTCCTTGCTACAGCAGCTACAGGAGAACTTAGTGACGAGGTTGCAGAGAACGCTGGTCTTGTTTCCACTCATGCCTACGCTGTCTTAGATATTAGGTAAGTAAAAAGACATGATTTGGTTTGTTGAACTAAGAAATCTTGAATAAATAATGCGTCAACTTGTTAATCTTGATAATTCCAAAATGGTTTGATTTGTGTTATTTTAAATTTGTGAAGATTAGGTGTAAAATATCAAAAATTACCCTCATTAAATTCATTAAACCGACGTTGCCCTAGCGCTTGGTCTAAAATCATGATTTCAGTGGTGCCTAGGGTTGCCTATGTAATTTTTAAAAATTGCATAATTTTTTAGCCCATCGTCACCCCGGGGTACCCATTGGTTTCTTATATACAGCGAACATATAGATGAGAGAAGAGCTTTATTATTCTAGTATAATTAAAATGATGAAATAAAATAAACGTTTTCTGAAAACAACTCCTCAAGATAATATTTGTTTACAGGTTGGTAAAAGGGGAAAAGCTATTCCTATTGAAGAATCCCTGGTCCCATCTCAGATGGCGGGGGAACTGGTCTGAGCTGGATGTCAGGTAGAAGATTAAACATTTTTTGTCACAAATTGACAAGAATGGTAAATATTTCCTGTAAAATAGTTATTTTTTCACCCTCCCTCCTAAAAATATTTTTTTCTTCTAATTTTTGTTATGATGCGCTGATTGGAAATTTTTCTTCTGGGGAAATAGATAAATTTTAGGGTAAAAAAGTCCAAAAGTTGTGAGGGGGGGGAACCGCCATTTATTGTCCTTTTTTCATCTTTTTCCAGAGCATCGAAATCATTTCATTGAAATGAATACCCCTGTCTGACAAATTTAAAAAAAATAAAGGGAGTGTTCGCGAAAAATGAAAAAGGGTATAGGCATAATGCGATAAAAAAGCGCTTTTGATCGCTACTAATCTTACTTCTATCTTTTGTGTCTATAAGGAGAAAATTGTTAAAAACGAATAATACCGAAGAACGTAGTGTCCATACAAATTCAGAAAGATGCAACATTCAACTTGGATCGTAAACAAATCAATTTAAATCCAAAAAAATCATTCAGATATTACAAACAATAGTCATCGATTATTTTTCGACGCATTCGTAAATAGTTGATACGCAACAGATAGAAGTAAGATTAGTAGCGATCAAAAGCGCTTTTTTATCGCATTAAGTCTATACCCCCATTCATTTTTCGCGAACACTCCCTTTAAGTTATAATTAGTATCTTTTAATATTATATTCAAAATATTGTAAATATTCATGTAATTGTCTATCCTCAAATATTTCAGACACTGGACTCAAGAGTTTCAGACCCTATTGAATTATAACCCTGAAGATGCTGCAAACTTTGACAACGGAGTTTTCTGGATGGATTATAAATCTTTACAGAAATATTTTGATGTTCTTTATCTAAACTGGAACCCTGATCTATTTCGGAACCGGTTTCATATTCATCAGCTTTGGAGGCTTGACGCCGGACCTGTAAAGGACACAATAAATATTGGAGAAAATCCACAGTTCAGTCTAGAGGTACGCATCTACTGAATTTGATAGAGGGGTATTTTAACTACTTCTTTTAATATCCGAAGTCTTTTGTACTTTTCTGTTAGGTTTTCGGGTTTTCTGTATAATTTGTTAATAATAGTTATTTATCCAATCGGATATAACAAAGAAAAGAGAGAGAAATAATTCATACGGTTGTTTAATAAGAGGATTTACGCGTGACAATTAGATCGAAGTTCAAGCGTTTTGGACTCTAAGGTGAAAGAGAAAAAAATCGACCCTTTTTATTTCTATCCGATGTTACAATATAGAAAATTTAAGATGTGTAGATTTTCTGGACTAACCAACCATGCTTGTTAGTTAGTACGGTGACTTTGTTTTGAGAACTCTCCCATTAAACCCAATATTGTCAGCTCAATCTTGCTCAGTCAACTCAGCTTGTTACAAAAATTGTAAATGATCTTTGGCGAAACAATAGTTTTTGTCAACCCTCGGCCATGTTATAGCTTTTTTATATAAACCTCCCTTAATTAAACCATTAAAAATCTCTTTGTAAAGTGTGTTGTTAAAGGTTAGAGATTGTGCGAATGGTGGCGCAGTTTGGTTACTCCTGTCCCGTCATATCCTGGATATTGCAGATTTCAAGGATAACAAGGAGTATATAACTCTTCTAGTCTATAAGAACAACGGAAAGAGGGTTTACTACCCCTTTGACCCTCCTCCATTTATTGACGGAGTCAGGTAAAGTTTTATTTTTTGTTTGATTATTTATAACACAAAGTTTGTGCGTGTGCTTTTTAAACAAAACGGAAGATGAAATAAAAAAGATCAAATATAGTAAGGAAAAAATAGAAACCTATTTTAAAAACGAAAAACGTTAACCAGTGGTCTGGGATTATTGGAGTAATCCTGAAAATTGAACTAAGCCAGAAAAGGTCTAAAGCTAACGTTTTGTATTATTTTAGAATAAACTCTCCCCATTACCTGACCAGAATGGTTCTGCAGAAGGGAGAAAGTGTGCGAAGGTTTACTCTCGTTGTCAGTCAGTTTGAGAAAACGGATAAAATTTATTTCACCGTTCGTGCCTTTTCCAACCAGCCTTTTACGCTTGGCAAAGTCAAAAATCCGTTTAAGAACAAGAAGGAGGTAAATACCTTTGAAAAATACTTGTTAATGTAATTTTAAGAGAGAACCCTCTATTAATTTAATGTCCCATTAAAGATTAATTTATTTACGCTTTACAGACGGAAATCAATAATCTTCGGTCATTTTCTCACACCTCTTGGCTGCAGAAATCCATGAATTTCTTATTTACAACGAGGTGGTTGCTGGTTATCAAATTTCTTACAAAAAAGCATAGATTTCTTAAACATTAATGCTAGACAAAACTTTAAAATGATTGCTATGATAGTCTTGATGAACCCAAACGGTCCCTTCAAATTTCAAACTTTGAAAACCCTTTATAAGATAGTTTATTATTAGTTAAGTTCAGACATTACAGAGTTAAGGGCAAATAGTAAATAAATAATTTTCAGATTTAGTGTATAAAAATACACAAGCAGCAGCAACTGATCTGACCAAAATCTCCAACCCTACTGAGATACAGTGATAATCAGAAAACTCTGGAATAGAAAGGCGAATTTTCGACTCAATTTATGACTTCACTTACTGCAATGAACAAAGGTCACCACAATTGTGCCGTGTAAAAAAGTCTAATTCACTCAATAAGTAGCTTAATAAGTAACTAGTAAAACTATTAGCTTTGTAACAACATCAAATAAAATTAAGAATTGCTTTAATGTCGTCTTTCTATTCTAGTTTTCTGGTTGTTACTGCATTTCGAGACTGGTTTACAAACTTTGATATTACTTACAATTTTAGTTCCTGAATTGTCTTAAGAAATATAAATGTGAATGAGTTCTACTTTCATTGATTATATCTGAGAGGGATGTCATGAGTTATTTTTATATTTTTCAAGTTGACCGGGAAGTGGGAGGGACGAACAGCTGGAGGATGTGCTAACAATAAGGAAACCTGGCCAAACAATCCTAGATTCAAGCTTGTTATTGATACCTTGTCACAACTGCAGGTGATTATTTTGCTCTTACTATTCAGAATAAAGTGTAAATCAGCAGCACATAGTTGATTGTTGAAAATTATAATTATTCATCCCACTTAGGTTTAGGAATCAACCCATCTGTTATTGTGCTGTTAAAATCAGTGCTTAGGATGCGGATCCGTTGGATCCGCAAGATTTTGGCTTCCTGGATCCGGATCCGCAAAAATGTGCGGATCCACGGATCCGGATCCAAGGGGTAAAATATCAACCAAAAACTCAAAAAAAAAACTTTTTTACTCCAAAATCCAAAATCTGAACTTTAAAAAAAAGATTATAAAAATTTCCTCATTTCTGAATGGTTCATCAAGTTTTAGGATAAAAATAAACGAAAAAATAAAAGCAAAAATTTGAAAATTTTGTTTTGTTAAAAAATTTCAGTAAATCTTAAAGAAATGACCTGGATCCGGATCTATTTTTTTCCAGTGCGGATCCAGGATCCGGATCCGCATCAAAATTGAATGGATCATATGCACTGGTTAAAATCAATTAATTCTTAAATTCATGACTGTTATTATTTCTAGATCCAGTTGAAGGGTCCTCGTGATTATCAGATAGGTTTTGATCTACTCTGCATATCAGCCTCGGATCCGTCCTCTCCAATCTACTTTAAAAAGAAGTCCTCTGGTGTCTATAGACCTGGATTTGTGGTTTTATCCTTGGATATTCTACCTGGAACCTACGACCTTCTTCCTTCAACCTTCAGGGCAGGGGAGGCCGGTGCTTTCATTCTCACTGTGGCCTGCAGTGCTTCCTTTGATATCTCGAGATAGTTAAAAACAAAGAAATCATTTTTCAAATATATTATTCGTTTGAATTAATTCTGAGCTGGTGCTACTCAGATTGACATATCTTTATTTATTTGGCATTTAATGTAATTTGTAATGAAATAAATTATAGTGAATGAATATATACTTGGTATAGAGATATAGATAAAGCTTATTTAAGCGTTAAAACTTCAAAAAATGACAACTAACCTAATTTTAAAGCGGGTGATAAAAATAATGTTGTATAGCAAAAAAATCATATTTTCTTTTATAAAACTTCGAAACTTTCCTGAGAGATGTCCAGTGCGAGATGAGGTATTTTCTATTCTAATTTAAAGCAATTCCGCTCAATAAAAGTTATCAGCTCAGTTCTGTTTACAACAAATTTCATATTTGTGGGGGAAAGTTTTGTAAGTGGCTCCCAATTATATGGTCCTCTTTCAAGTACCTAGCACTTCTCTCAGAGACAACTTCTTTTCTTCACACAGAATATTTTCAATTCTGGTGTCTTCTTAATGTGCCTCATCAAAGTTCCTCGCCAGAATTGTTTTATCTTTTTAATGAACAATGAAGATTATTCCAAAACTGAAAAGGAAAACGATGAAGGGGCGGATACAGGATTAAAGTGAGGGAGGTGCTAGATACAGGATATAAGTGAGGGAGGTGCTAGATTTATTTCGGAACAAAAACATCCAGGTTTAAGAAAATTTTTTATGATAGATATTTATCCTGTTTTGCAGAAGCACTAGGTTTTCTTTCCCTTAGTGCTATTGAGAAGCTATTCTGAAATCTCAGGGGGGTTCAAAGGTCCTGCCGCCGCCCCCCCTCATGTATCCGCCCTAAAACAATGGAACCCAAGAAACTGTGGAATAGGAAACCAACATTTAAGCATTCTTATGTGTATTTGTTGTTATAGAACAAATTGATATTTCATACTAGTTTTGATTTTGTTTTTTAAAATAATGTTTAGCTTACAACTTGTTTTCGAACATTCCTGGAAAATATGAAAATGTCGTCTATCTATTCTTCTGAAACCTTTACTATATTCCTAGAGACGCAACAGATAGAAGTAAGATTAGTAGCGTTCAAAAGCGCTTTTTTATCGCATTAAGCCTATACCCCCTTTCATTTTTCGTGAACACTCCCTTGAATACAAAATTAGATTACTTTAATGTTCATATTTCAAATTATTTCTGTAAGTCGAGGTTCCAATTTAATGCCCTGCAAAAAATTGCCTATTTCTAAGGTCTATCAAAGTTTTTCGAAATCATGGGCCCGGAATTACTGCAACCTCTCGTTTTAGGGCTCTCTTCATAGAGTTCTGGGTTTACACCTTGGGGTTCAGAAAGCCCAGAAGAAAATCCCCACCAAATGAAAGGATCAAACAACAAATTTTTTCTTAGATGACCCCATCTAAAATTAAAAACTATATAGTAGAGCACATTTTTAAGACTTTTTTAACGGTTAAAAAGACTGAAAACCTCTCATTTCTAATTTTTTGGGGGCCACACTGAAGTAAACATATAAATAAATATATATGAGCGAAGAGCTTTATTATAAAGATAATAATAATCCCCCCCCCCTCCAATTAAAGTTCTACGAAACCATTAGACACTAAAATCGACGGCCAAAAGAGTCAATTTTGTCATTTGTGTGCTGAGTGCTGATTTCGTGTAAAACAAGTTCTCAATAAAATGAAATAATTTATAATTGCGTAGTTCTGTTCAAGAACCTTACGCTAAAAAATTTCTAGCGTAGAATTAGAAACTACCTGCTCTATCTATCTATCTATCTACCTGTCCCATATACAGAATTGTCAGTTGGTACAAGTTCTTACGTGTTTCACCATAGTGAAATCTTCAACATGGCGGAACGGAGGAAATTATCCTCGAGAAAACAGGAGAAAAGTGCGATGAACCCAAAGGAACCAATGACGAAGATTCAAAAGGAAATTACTGCCTGGATGAAGATAAATATTCCAACCAAGAAAACTAAATTCCTCCATAGTCACGTTGTCGAATATTTTATCGGAAAGAAAGCGGTAGATTTATTGTTTGAGGACAGTCCCTGGGCTCCAAACAAGGAATTGGATACGGAGACGGACAGGTTTATATTCTCTTCCAGGGAACATGTTGTGGAAACCCTGGATCTCTTGCTTAGGTACAAGATGTTTCATAGAGCAAGGAAAATATTGGTCGTAGATGAGAAGAAACCTAAAAAGAAAGAAAAGAGTGACTCTAAACCTGAGAAAGAAAAGAGTGAGGAAACTGAATCTGAAAGAAAAGAATCCAAGTGCGATACTGAAGCAGAAGAGGAGAAGAAGAAAAAGCGTCGTATAAGGCTGGATATGCACCTGGAGCAGATGTTTGAAGATTGTACCGACGCATATGTTTGGTTGTATGATCCAATACCCTGGTACTACTGGATCGCTGGTGGAGCTATAGTTCTGGTGGTTATAGTTCTCTGCCTCTTCCCTCTTTGGCCACGTCGACTTCGTAAAGGAACACACTGGTTGGCTTTTATTGCAGCTTGTTTGATGGTTGTAGTTCTCATCATAGCAATCTTGAAATATATCATATTTGGAATACTCTACGGATTATCAGGAAGAAAATTAAAGTTCTGGATTCTACCAAACCTAACAGAGGATGTTACGTTTTTAGAATCCTTCTGGCCGCTGTATTCCTACAAGTACACAGGGGAAGTTAGGATGGATGAGGACGAAGTTCCTGATGAAAAAAACGAGAATAGTGACAGCAATGAGAGTGAGAAGGCAGGGTTCGAGTTTGTTGAAAAATCCAAGAATGAATAGATAGTGAAATATTTAAGCAATCTACATTACGTATCTGTAAAAAATAAATTTAATTAAAATAAATTTGATAATTTTGATATTTTAATTCTATTAATTGAGGATTTTATTTGCTTCTTCTCTTTTAACGACTTCTGTCCAAATAAAATAAATCAAAATTAAAAATGAAAGCAAGATTAATGCATAATTTGCATTCATTGTATTCTATACATTATATTGTTAAATGGGTATCGTTTTTGTGCGTTTGCTTTCATGCGTTACACTTACTCTTTTGAATTAAATTTACTAATATGAATATTGAATTATGTAAAATTACACAGCATGGTTTAAAAAAATAACACCAAATCTATTCTTCTGAAACCTTTACTATATTCCTAGGAATTGATAGCTAAATAAATAGTACAACCAACATATATTTTAGAAATTTATTGAGGGATTACACTGAAAATTATGAACATAGAAATTAAAAAGCCGATTCATATTTTAAAAAGATTAAATATTGATATTGATAAAAAACCAGAAATTAAAAACAAGAATAAGTACACTGTACTGGAGTTAAAAAAACGAAGAAAAAAAAATATTTTAAAGTATCCTAGGCATTGTTAAAAATATTCAGGATTTAGAAAAACCACTTAATTTATTTTAAAAAAAAACATGGAATCAGTTTCCTTCTTTAACTTTTTCTTTTACGAAAATATATTTTAACATTTAGACACTTTTTGATTTTTCTTGAATATCTTTAAGCTTAATTTGTTGGTACGTGCAGGTGCACACTGCATGCTCATTGCGCAGAATCATATGCTATTAGATTAAAGCAATTTCTATAAATTATCATTAGTTGATCAACAATATCTTGTGTATAATATAGCAAAACTAAAAATCTAAAATTTAAAAAATCCATAGCAAATAGAGGAGTAAGATAACAATGGAGCCGAATATAGGAATGGTGGTATGTACTTAGTGACGGTTTGGAAGAAAGGCAGGGTCCAAAGAAGCAACCTAAAAAGGATTAAATTTAGATTATGAACTGATAAATATTTAAATTTGATTACCTTTGCAGTAAGAAAAGAATGCATAAAGAAAAGTAATTCCTGGAGTTTTGGACAAATAACCTCCTCAGTTACCGCATCCTAAAAACCGATAAAAAAATTATGTTATAGTTTACTGCAGTTTTAAAATCTTCTATATTCTAAAGTTGTTGTAAAGATTAAACATGTCGAACTTTTTTACAGAATACTCTTAATCAAAAAATGTTCTCTTTTTCCAATTTTGACAAAATTAAATCATTTTTTTTTACAAAAAGATTTTGCGTGTTTTTCAATTCCTTTTTTAATCTCCTTTCAAATACAGACTCTTTTGAAGATTAAAAAAAATATTTTAAAAAATACTAATATTTCTTTAAAAAATATATCTTTATATATCCAGTTTCAACACTTTATAAAATATGTAAAAGAATTCATATACCTTAGACATTTGACGGTGAAAATGAAGTTTTAAGGTAGCATTCCCGTCGTCTGAAGATCCCTTGATAATAAAAACTTATGTTTATTAATCAATAGATATAAAAATACAAACCTGAAACTGTTTATATTGTAAAAGAGGGAAACATATGTGGTGGTAATTACAAGAAATATGTAATACTCACATTAAGTATATGAGTATGAAGATGTTAAAATCAAATCATAGACATACCTTCAGTTGTGAGAACTGAAAACTCCATTCAGGAGTAGCTGAATGAAATCCTTTCAAAACAAAACCTTCTTCCCAATCTATGAAAAAAGATACATACATATAAAGTGCCTTTTGCGTGATCAGTATTTGTTTTTGTTATAATTGCGTTTATTTTTTGTTTGAACCAATTCTTCGATAATAACTTTTATTTTTATTTTGACACATCTTTATGTTTTAAAACTTTTCACTTTAAAATTCAACTCGAAAAAAAATGAAAGTGATATTGATATTTCTATAAATGTATAGCTGGGAAATGATTTTGTTAATGTCAATATAGGTTTAAAATATTTTGAATTTAATCTATTAAATATCTACAAACTTACCCAAGGAAAGAGCTGAGGGTTTGTTTTTATAAACAACATGAAAGGTTTTAGCTCCAAGTTGAGAAATTGCTGCAAAATTCAATAATTTTCAGTTTCGCAAAGAAAATCTGTTTGGTTGTATGTAAATGTATTTTTAAAAGTTGGAATGAAAAGAACTTTTCACTTTATAGAATGTTATTAAATTTTTCCTAGACAAACTGCTCTATGCCAGGCCGATTCTAGTCGAAGTAATTCCTGAACATAATTTTAAATGTATTTTTTCATTGAAAGAAGAAGAAAAAGTTAGCAGGGGAGTTGGGATATGTACAGGGTGAGCAAAAAAAGTGTGTTTAGCGGCGCCTGGTGCAAAATTGTACCATTTTTAATTTTTTTTTGGTATTCCAATGGCTCAAAAAAACCGCGAACTTTTTTTTCTATCAAATCTAAAGTATAGAAAAACAAAAATGTGCATAAAAATTATTTCTGTAAAAATCTAAAATTTTATAAAGATTGTATCACAGAATCACAGAAAATTTGCAATATTGTAACAAGAAAATTCGCAATTTTCAGTTCTTGTCTAATTTTGTTGAAGGAAAAGTTATTTAAATTCTCTAGTTCTTTTCTTTTTGGTATATTCTAAAGTTGAAACCTGAAGAGCCATTGAAAAACAACTTTTCCTTAAAAATTAGGATAGAAAAATGAAAATTTTCTCATTACAAGTTTGCGAATTTTCTGTGATTTCGATTTCGATTGAAATAATTTATATACACATTTTTGCTTTTCTTAACATTTGATTTTGAAGAGAAAAAAAAGTTTCGCTGATTTTTTTGGGACCAATGGAATACCAAAAAAAAATTCTAAATTTTCAAAAAAATATTGAAAAAAACACCATACAGGAGAGTTGCACAAAAAAGGTACAGTTTTGCACTAGGCGTGGCTAACACATTTTTTTTGACTCACCCTGTATACATGTATTTTGATGAGATAAAGGAACTAACTCGAACTTTTATTTCTTATCTTTATATATTTACAACTGGAGAGTTTGAAGATTGAGATGTGAATAGCGAGAAATAGTTGAACCGCGTAGACGTAGTTAAACTACTTCTCTCTAACTTGAACCGGCGCACAAAAGAGGTGGTTCAACCACGTCACGTTGTTCAACTGCTTCTCGCTTTTTATCAAATTGGAGTCCCAGGTACGTGGGAAAGATTTAAGGATTAGCAAAGAAATATAATTGGACAGAAATTAAGATAGAGATCAACTAATATTCTATTATTATTCTTCATTTACGTACCCCCCGATGGAAGATGTTAAACCCTCCCTTTAATAAATATTTGACCTGTCTGGTTTCTACACTAAGATAGTGGGATTGTTGTCCAAATGTTTGAATAAGAAAACAGTGTTGCCTCTCATCAACATACTCACTCTCCTTTATCACACGGAACATTGCCTCAAACACCTAAACCCACACAGATTATTCATTTTTACTTTCGAGCAAAATCGTGAATTTCCTCTTTAAAGTTGGCAACCTGGTAAATATTATATGTGGTTTAAAAGAATTTTCAACATTGTTTAAAGTGTGGCTCTCTAAGAATGCACAATCAACGATCAACAAAACTCTACTTTTTAATCCAAATATTTGAGAAGAAATGTTATTGACGTACGGTACAATAAACATGTACACTGAATGAAAAGAGGTGTAAAGTTTTATATCGTTAATCCCTTGAGAAATATCAAATCCGTATTGCTGGTGGTGCGACGACACAAAAGATCTAAAGGAATTGACTTTTAGCCACAAATTCTGATTTTCAAATCGCTATATCTTTGCAACCTGATGGTGTTAACCTTTGATATTTCAAAATATCATTATTTGATCTAAAATAATTCATAGTTTGAAATATCTAAGGTCTCCGACATTGAAATGCAAAGATATAGGGATAAGCAAATCAGAGTTTGTGACAAAAACTCAATTCCTTTACCTTCCATTTTTGCAAAAAGTTTTTCTATGTAAAGAATCTATTAATTTCTTTTGGGTATTATCTCTAAAGGTCGATGAATATCGCGAAAATAAGAAACAGTTTTTTTTCTCGCAGATTGAGCACTTAATCCCTTCAAATTAAAAGTCGATTTCATGCGTTGTAGATTAGTGACATTTCAAACAAAAGATCCACAGGCAGCATAGTAAATTGTTGTTTTTTTACCTTGTACTTTATGGGTGGAGGTCCTTGCGACCATTCTTCAGGTGTTAGAGGTCCTTTCTCAAATACAAATATCTCGGAACCTTTCAGAACTAAAAACCTTAATAGTAAAATAACTTTTTCAACAGGTTAAGACTTAATAATAATCATTCCAAATTTCATAATAGGAGTTGGAAACATGGAGAAAAAAATGATAATTTAAAGGAGTTGAGTTTTTGCCACAAACTCTGATTTTCTAATCTTTATATCTTTGTAACCCAATGTCGTAGACCTTAGATATTTCAAACTATTATTACTAATAAATAAAATAATCTAAGGTTTGCACCATCAGGTTACAAAGATATTGGGATTAGAAGATTTGAGTTTGTGGCAAAAACTCAATTCCTTTCACCTTGGTTTCCAATTTTGCCACGCTTGGTCTTTTGAAAGTATTCCCTCCGCTACCCAGGTCATATAGGAGATCTGATTTTCTACTGGGAAACTCCGATTTAGTTTTGTTGCCTAGAAAACAAAATTTAATTTCTTTATTTTTTAACCGTATACTTGTGCTCTAGTTATTTTATGTATTTTTATGACAAAAATTTCATTAATTGAAAATCAGCAACCGAATTTAATTGATTTTGAAGGTGGTTGTCACAAAAAAATTAATTGATTCCTTTGGGTTGACCTGATAGGAGTTGAGAAGAGAGATATAATCACCAATCAGTTTCAACCATTGAGTCAGTAAAGATGGATCTGTATTGTGAACAACTCCTGGACACCAAATATTAGATTTATTATTGATAATCATTTGGAATTAGATCAATTTAGATTAAGAAGAATAGTGATTCATGATCATTTTGAGTCTTATTCTGACCATTAAAATGATGTTCTGTATGATCAATCTGATTAAGGCAAGTTCACATAGCAGTTTTAGAATAACCTACAAGAAAGCCCAATGTCTTAAAAACACATGCTCTCAAAAACAAAAAGTTAAAGTTTGACGAAACTGCCTTCAATATGAAGTATTAAAAAAGAGCTTGATAAGTTTGCCTTTTTCAGTAACTTTCTTAAATTGTTCAATTAAAATGTTAAAACTACTTATTTCTCAGACCGTTAGACCGAAAAATCAGAAATATGAAATTACCTGTACTAGATCCATCCATCCCACGAACTATATTACCTGTACTAGATCCATCCATCCCACGAACTATAATTACCTGTACTAGATCCATCCATCCCACGAACTTCGAAAGAACTCGGACGTAGTTTGTCTGTTCCGAAAATATATCTGAAATATTCTTTATTTTATATTCCTGGCCTGGCCTGAAATATTTTACAATTTTGTTGGATCCAAAGGGACAAATTACAACAGAACCCCCCTGATAGCACCGGCAATTGATATTTGAAATTGTTTAAATTTCTCCAACCTTGTTGTGTATGCCATTAGCAGAGGGACTTTTACAACGTCCGTCCAGTTCTTCTTTACTCTGCAATAAATATATAATCATTAGTAATATTACGGCATTAATTGAGAGACGAATAACATTTTTGCGATCTTTTTGTAATGTGGTAGAATTTATGTATTTAAGTTAATTAATGTTTTGTCGGTAAATCAGATTAAACCTTGTAATCTCTGCTATGTAGGGGAAAATATAAAGAACGAAACCAGCATTTTTTTTTAGGAAAATAGTCTAGGCCACAGGTTTACAAGTAAAGTTTAATAACATCGATGAGTCACATTTTTTTAGAGAAATATAATTTTTTAATTTTTAAAAAAATAAACATATATTGCCCCCTCCCCCACAAACTCAAAACTCGTATTTTCATATCTGTGTCGGTCAACCTATTCTCCTAACCCCTTTCCCACACCCCCAACCCTTAGTTCAATGATCATTTCTTACAGTTTTGACAATACCACCATTCTTTAAGGTTGACCATAATTCTTACGCTTTTCATTCTTTTATTCCACTTCAAAAACCCCCCCCTCCCCTCATTTGCTTACTTTTTTTTATAAATTTCAAGAAAGCTATTCGTTACATTATCTTTATTTTTAATTTGTAATAATTTTGGTCATTTTCTGTAGGACTGAAGAGGATATAAAATATATCGAAATCAATTTCCAAACCCGAGTTTTTCTACCTGTCAGAGTAAAACCTTTTTTTGCCAGTTTGGACAATTTACATTGGTATAATTTTACATGCTATAATTTTGAATTCTAACAACCTTGAGATTCCAATCCAGGTTCCAGAGCTATCCGAACTCACAGAACAAGGGGACTCAGGAATCTAAAAGAAAGAATGCTCCTCTTAAGAATGAAAGAGTTTCTATTAAAGTTTTTTTAAATTAGAATTCTGTGCAACTACTTTGACTTTTGAAACTATTGATTTGCAAAAAGAAAAAAAATCAGAGGCGTATTCAGGATTTAATCTAGGGGGGGGGCTTTATAATGTGCCGGAAGAGCTAAATTTTTAAAATTAAACAATATCATAAAACATACATATAATAACAAGATCCATAAACATCAAACAAAAAACAAATACTAGAGGGGGCCGGTGTAGGGGGGGGGGGGTGCTCAGTCAAGGGGCTGTGCTATTTTAGGCTCAGCCCCCGTTGGGGGCTAAAACCCCCCTGAAAATCAAAGCCTTCACTTTCCAGGGGGAACTGAGCCCACATAGCCCCCCTGAATACGCCTCTGAGAAAAATTGACTTCAAAATGTTGTTTTGTTTTCAACAAATGATTTCTTTCTTCAATTACAACTAAAATACAATATTTTATTATAAATTTTGCAATATAAATCAATGCTCTCGGAGATTTTTGCGCTTCATTAAATTTTCTTTTTCTAACCTGAGAATGGTGTCCTCCAGCTGAAGCTCCAGGTAGATCCTGTTCCAGGCAGATCGGGTTGGACTCATCGTACTCCGGTATAAACCTGAACACATTAAACATTTTAACATTTAATCATTTTTTACATAAAGATATAAATTAAATAAAAATAACTAAAACCAAAGAAAAAAAAAATGCAAGTGTACTAAGATGAGATTATTTTTTTTCAGAGAATGTCTCGACTGAAACTTTTTTCAAACAAAGAAAACAATTCTTTTCTAAAATCAGATTCCATAAAGAGTTTTAGATGTAAATAAAACGCTTTTTTGAATTTTGGAACGAGGAGAATGGAACATAATGCTCTGAATTCATAATAAAGCACGGAAATAGGAAAAACCATAGTTTAGACATTTAAAAATCATATTTTAATCGCGATACCATATTTTGGATATTTATAAAAACATGCTTAAAGCAGTATACCATGGTGCGGATTCAAAGCAGTATACTATGGTGTGTATACATACAAAACATGTTTAAAGCAGAATACCATGGTGTGGATTCATACAAAACATGTTTAAAGCAGTATACCATGGTCTGGATACATACAAAACATGTGTTTAAAGCAGTATACCATGGTGTGTATTCATACAAAACATGTTTAAAGCAGAATACTATGGTGTGTATGCATACAAAACATGTTTAAAGCAGAATACTATGGTGTGTATACATACAAATCATGTTTAAAGCAGAATACTGAGGTGTGGATACATACAAAACATATTTAAAGCAATATACCATTGTGTGGATACATACAAAACATGTTTAAAGCAGTATACCATGGTGTGGATACATACAAAACATGTTTAAAGCAGTATACCATGGTCTGGATACATACAAAACATGTGTTTAAAGCAGTATACCATGGTGTGGATTCATACAAAACATGTTTAAAGCAGTATACTATGGTGTGGATAGATACAAAACATGTGTTTTAAGCAGAATACCATGGTGTGGATTCATACAAAACATGTTTAAAGCAGAATACCATGGTGTGGATTCATACAAAACATGTTTAAAGCAGAATACCATGGTGTGGATACATACAAAACATGTGTTAAAAGCAGAATACTATGGTGTTGATACATACAAAACATGTTTAAAGCAGTATACCATGGTGTGGATACATACAAAACATGTTTAAAGCAGAATACCATGGTGTGGATACCTACAAAACATATTTAAAGCAGAATACCATGGTGTGTATACATACAAAACATGTTTAAAGCAGAATACCGTGGTGTGGATACATACAAAACATGTTTAAAACAGTATACCATGGTGTGGATTCATACAAAACATGTTTAAAGCAGAATACTATGGTGTGAATACATACAAAACATGTTTAAAGCAGTATACCATGGTGTGGATTCATACAAAACATGTTTAAAGCAGAATACCATGGCGTGGATACATACAAAACATGTTTAAAGCAGTATACCATGGTGAGGATACATAAAAAACATGTTTAAAGCAGTATACTATGGTGTGGATACATACAAAACATGTTTAAAGCAGTATACCATGGTGTGGATACATACAAAACATGTTTAAAAGCAGAATACCATGGTGTGGATACATGCAAAACATGTTTAAAGCAGAATACCAAGTTTGGATATTTACTAAACATATTTGGAGTGAAATTCGGGGAAAATTAAGTATACCTTCCAAACTGCTTAAGAAGAAAGGGAGTTGTTGCTTTGTAATGTTTGAGTGTTAATCTAACAGTATTTCCTGCATCCTGAAATATTTTCATTATTTACATTATTAATAAACCAATGATTTTAATCATTAAATCTAGGGTTAAACATAAATGATATAAAAATATTTAATGGGTTTAATGTTTGTTTGTCTATGACATAATTTCTCCTAATATTGATATTCGTTATACGATAAAGTACAATATATTAATAAAATGAAACACCAAATATTGTTTAACTAAAAGTTAATAAGATGGAATATAATTATGAACATTTTTTATGCATACACATATATGTGTAGTGTATGTTAGAAGAGTTTAGCATTTTCTTATTTATGTTCTAAGCTGAAAATAAGCTTCTTAATGCACATATCATATTACACTGCAGCGAAAAAAAATTCAAACCAATAGCAATGTTTTAGTTTTTGATGAACATCGGAATTTATTCTAGCTGATTTTAAACGAGTATTTTAGAACTTTGGCTAGGCCTCGTAAACTGGTACTTTATTTGTCTAAAGTTTTAGACGAAAGTTAATTTCCTACCTGGAGAATTGTAAGAGCATCCTGATGAGTCATATTAGAGAGACTAGTCTCATTAACTTTTACAATAGCATCCCCGATATATATATCTCTACATTGAATAATATATTATAGACAAAAAAATATTTATCTCGAGATAAAAGAAGAATAAAAGAAAAGTCCCAATTTATTATATTTCTTTCTTTGGAACTTGTTATTGTTTGATAATATTATCCACTACAGTTTTGACAGTTTTTCTATGGTTAATATTTATTATCTATTTATTTTTTTTAATAATTTAGAATAAAGTTTGAACCTGGCTGATTCTTCTGTGCTTGAAACTCTAGATATAAGGATTGGTAGATTGTGCTCTAATCCTCCTTTAATAGATATCCCGAGGTTTCCATCTTTAGATCTCTGTAGAACAATTTCCCTGGTTCAATATTTATAAATCAATGTTTACAAGAGTTATATTTAAAGGGAGTGTTGGGGAAAAAGAAATATCAGGCAACATTTACATTAATAGCGATCTAAAGCCGGGCGCACACATAGATCCAGACTGAGATATAGTTGTATCAATTTTCATCGACTTGGCGTTTGATTTTAAATCAATACAAATAAGTTACTTATATCTATTTCAGCCCTAAACATTCAAATTTTAAAACTCTGAAATTTAAATGTTTCAGAAGAAAGAGAAAGAGACAAAATTAATATCGATTTTTGCATGAGAGCTTTCAACCTTTGGATCACCGAGAGTAAAAAGGTATCTTACCAAACACCAGTGGCGCAACTAGCACTTTTGTGAGGGGGGGTGGATGGTAACCCCCCTGTTTTCAGGATTTGAAGTACAAAAACAGTATTTTTTAATTGTTGAAGGATTGGCTCTGTGGTCAATAATATATCAAATTCTTATAATATCCATGGCTTGGTCTTATCTTTAAAAAAGATATACTTACTACAGCTTTAAAATGAATGACTTGAGGTAATAAATTAAAAAAAATGTCTGTTCTCCTAGTGTCTTTTCATGTCTTTCTTAGTGTCATTGTAATACTCATGAGAAGTAACATATATACAGGTTTTTTTGAGAGGGTAAATTAAAAATGACTAACATTCTTTAAGTCAAAAACCAGAAAATAGTTAGAAATTCTATTAGAATTGATGCGCGAAGCGCCAAAGAAAATTTTTGGTATTTTTTTCTTAATTGTCAAAGTTTAATAAAAGATGGTCCACAATCATGATCATGCTGGAGTCAAGTGAAGGGGGGGGGGGCGAACACCCCTTTTAGATGGAAGACAGTTGATAGTCTCGTGCTTGCTTGTTGTTAGCAAACTCAAGAACATTAGTTAATGGATAATACATTATAGTTCAAACAAAGGGTTACTTAACATTAAAAAAACAATGATGGAGAAAAATTTCTTAATCCTTTTTTATTGTTTTGATTTGTTAAGTCTAATATTAAACCCAAAGAAAGAAACTGTTCAATTGTTGATACCTCCAGGAAACCTTTATCCTTATCTTTTGTCTGCGGATTAAATTTAATCTTTTCGAAATTCGCCAAAAATCCGACCTTTCGTAATTGAAAAAATGTCTGCTTTCTGCCAATGAAAATTCGCAAGAATACTATTCAGCTGTTTTTCACGAATCAAGCGCTTAATCGATACTTTCTGAGAGAAAGTGGATATTTTTGACTTCAACCCCGCTTAAACCACTTCAAATGTTAAAAAAACAAGAGGATACGAGTTTGTTTTATTATTGTTGCTTGAAGGTTAATACCTGAGCCCGGATTCAACAGGATAGCTCGTCTCATCGTCCCAAATATGGAACTCCTCCCTCTGTAGAACCAGGTAATCACTGCATAACTTTAATCTACTTGGCAGAGGTCTACTCTTTCCATCACTTACACTCACCTTAAAGGAAAAGTTTTTCAACTTTGAGAACTTTGACAACGATACTATTTCTTTTTTGATCTTAGTATTTTAGAAAACTGTTCGAAACTAACTTTAAAAATGCTAACAGTGGCAATCTGCCAGAGAAATGAATGAGTTTTCTACAGTTCCTGCCAGAAATAAATATGTTAAAGAATTATTATAAAAAATGTTAAGAATACTACCAATGGATTTGTTCAAATTGTTCAATGTCCATCCAAAATTCATTTTGAAATTGCTAAACGATCTATTTTAGAAAAAAAAACATTTTTGTATGCTTTACCAACACTTTTTTTACGTAGTTTTTAATCAAAGTAGCAATCAGTAAAATGAAATTACACAATAGAAAATTTCAATTACAAATTTGGAGGTTTCTTGTCATAACTTTAAAATTTAGTTTTTCTTTATCATTTTTTTAAAATACGATTCATTTTACAATAATCTTCATAAAACTTTTTTTTAGTAACAATGGTAGAAATATTAGAAAAATCCCTGTCATTTTCTTGCTTGCTTGGTGTTGTGGTAAAAAATCTTTCACAAGGATATCCAAATCGTAAAGATATCCATTGCCTATAGGATAATTAAAATACCTTCATTATCTAAAAATTGGTTTAAAGAATACCTATATAAATCGTAGATCCTATAAAGGACAAAAACAAACCCCATGAACTAATCAATAAAAGTATATTACCAAACCGTAGTGAAACTTTCTTAGGTTTGAATGTCTGTCCTTTCTATCTCCTCCAACCATTTTCATCTAGGCATTAAACATTTTAGATACATTTTAGATCAATTAATACATATTTATTCTATTCTACACCGTGTAAGTGAAAATATGATAAGTTCAGTGAAAACCAACGGACCTGCAGAACGTTTTTCTGTATTTTCTTTTTAGCTACGGTATCAAACCAATATATAATGTAATCACAAAGGAAAAAATACAACAACCTACTAACTAGGGAATAATTGGTGGATAAGGTTACACTTGTAAGGAAATTGATCTCGAATTTCGAAAGGGGTATGGAACAACATGTTGAACTTTACTTAAATTCTTATTTTTATTCATCATCTCCTTTTGGCTCAAATCCCCGCTAATATTTATAAATATTTGGCTCCAGCATATCTTGGTTACGACACAAAACGATTTAATGAAGAGTTAGAAGTGAAAATAAGGTAATTTGGTATCATCTGTAATTTTTATTAAAATATGTTTAACGTATTCATATAGATTTTTTTCAATTCGTTCAGGTTATCAACATGTCAGAAAACTTAAAAAAAATTTAAGTTAATCTTATATCTTTGCAACCTGATGGTGTTAACCTTTAATATTTCAAACTATCATTATTTAATCTAAAATAATTCATAGTTTGAAATATCTAAGGTCTCCGACATTGAACTGCAAGATAAAGGTATAAGAAAACCAGAGTTTGTGACAAAAACTCAATTCCTTTGACTTATATTTACATAATACCGTTAACACAGAATAAGTAATTTCAGGAGAAAAAGGTTGGGTTTTTGCTGAAAATGTGAAACTTAGCTATTATTGTATTTGAAAAGAAGGTTTTAAACAATTTTTCATATCGTGTCGGTTGCCCATTATCCCGTCAATGTTGGTTTGTAATAAAAAGTAGCTTTGTTAAATAGTAGTGTATGATGTAGAGTAAAATTATGAAATTCAAGAAACCGTGTTCTTAAATATATTTTTTATTTTCAACATGTTTAGTTGCTAACTGAAAGATTTTAACTACCTAAGTTTGGTTTCTCTGGATTCTATGAAGAGTTTGTTGTATTGTGTGCTCCGTCCTCCACACTGCCTCCAAAATCGATCCCCGGTCGAGGCCGTATCGTCATAAAATAACCTAGTTGTGCATTTTATTAAATTTAAATTTAAATTCATAAGACTATTAAAAAACGTTTGTTTCTATAACTAAAAATGAACCTTTTCTTCAGTTTAATTTTTAAAAATGTCATTGACAACAAACTGATTTTGACATTTTCTACCCAATCAATAGAAGTTGATATTACTAGATGTTAAGAATGTGTATAAATAATAATAAATATTGAAAACAATAGGACAAATGATAGATTCAAAGATAGATCAGGACCAGTGGAATGACAAGTCTGAGCGTAAATGTATAGTTGTATTATTAGCTATAGTAGAAACAAGTTCTCTGTTAGTGTGGGATGATTTCTGTGAACGTATTTCATTGTTCTGGAGATAGTTCACAAAAAGAAATCCTTACCCTTATCAATATATTTATAATTCATATTTTGTTTGTCTGTTTGTATGTCTGTCTGTGTCCAATAAATCCCAAAACGTCAATGAACATTTAAAGTTACAGCTAAAATTGTAACTAATCCTGTAAATAAAACATTTTTCGTCATAACTGACACGGTAAGGAGAATTCTATAACATGTATGATGTCGTAAATAAGTTTAATAAATAAGTTAATAATTATTTAACGGAAATGTTTATTATTACGGATTTTGGATCTAAACTGTAATAAAGTACCGCAAATTTATTAGTGGCGTTTAATCATGCAAGCTTGAGCTTGCTTCATTGAATTTTAGATAGGGCAAATTATACATATTTTGTTATCTATTCATAGCCTACATCTACCATACTGACATCTTAATAACTTAAAAGAGTTTTTATGCCGATTCAATGTCGATTCAAAATCTGTTTTGGAATTCCAGATCTATCTATAGATACAAGTTCAATCAACGAATTCCAGACTTTAGGCATGGAGTCTTCGGTTGCAAAGGTATAGGGATTAGAAAATCAGAGTTTATGTCAAAAACTCAAATCCTTCATAGGTTACAGATTCATTGATGTGTACCAGATTCATCTACGAATTCCAGATTCATCCACGGATTCCGGATTTCCAGATTTAAGATGTTTTGATAGATTTCAGATCAATTCGTTGATTTTAGATCTATCTCTGGATTCTAGATTGGTGGTAATTTTTCTCAAGGGCAGGGCATTGCTTTATATCCTGGCATTGCGTGCAGTGTGTGCATTCATTCCTTTACAGGGTAGTACACATTTCCCTTACAGGGCAGTACACAGTTCCTTTACAGGGCAGTGCACATTTCCCTTACAGAGCAGTACACAGTTCCTTTACAGGGTAGTACACAGTTCCTACACAAGGTAGTACACAGTTCCTTTACAGGGTAGTCCACAGTTCTTTTACAAGGCAGTACACATTTCCCTTACAGAGCAGTACACAGTTCCTTAACAGGGTAGTTCACAGTTTTTTTTACAGGGAAGTACACATTTCCCTTACAGGGCAGTACACAGTTCCTTTACAGGGTAGTACACAGTTCCTTTACAGGGAAGTAAACAGTTCCTTTACAGGGTAGTACACAGTTTCTTTACAGGCCAGTACACAGTTCCTTTACAGGGTAGTACACATTTCCTTTCCTGGGTAGTACACATTTCCTTTACAGGGCAGTACAGAATTCCTATACAGGGCAGTACACAGTCCCTTTACATGGCAGTACACAGTTCCTTTACAGGGCAGTACAGATTTCCTTTACAGGGCAGTACACATTTCCTTTACAGGGTAGTACACAGTTCCTTTACAGGGTAGTACACATTTCCTTTACAGGGTAGTACACAGTTCCTTTACAGGGTAGTATACAGTTCCTTTACAGGGTAGTACACTTTTCCTTTACAGGGCAGTACACAGTTCCTTTACAGGGTAGAACACAGTTCCTACACAGGGTAGTGCACAGTTCCTATAACACAGGGTAGTACACAGTTCCTTTACAGGGTAGTACACAGTTCCTACACAGGGTAGTACACAGTTCCTATAACACAGGGTAGAACACATTCCTTTACAGGGCAGAACACAGTTCCTACACAGGGTAGTACACTGTTCCTTTTAAAAGGTTAACACACCAGGCCGTTCTTGTACAGGAATGTAGCACACCGTTTAATGAAAATCATAAAAAATCTCAACTTAAATATATAATTATTATAGAATATAAAGTGTAGTGCAGGTTATTATTGCTATTTTGATTTCAGATTTATAAAGTCTTTGTCATTCTATCATAAGACAAGCTTCTTATAATCTACGTAAAGACTAAATAAAACATATCTCTTTGCAATCCAATGGAGGGAGGGGGTGCAGAGGCGCCATGAGCCCATCAGGTTGCAAAGATATAGGAATTCGGAAACTTGAGTTTGTGGCAAAACCTCAATTTCTTTAAACAATTCTATAAAGGGTTAAAAAATTAGAAATTTGGACATCTTGTGTTTAAAAATTCGAACAACTCAACAACAAAATTTTCTCCATATGTTCCCAGTAGTTGGAAATCATTCTCATTTCTAATTCATTAACAATGCAATATAAGGTGAACATTTATTAGGGGAAATTTTAGAAACAAATATTTGTTAAAATACAAATTGATGTCAAGGACGGAAAGTAAATTGGAGTTTGACTTCATCTCAAATGAGTTTTTGTCACAAACTCAAATTGTCTAATCCCTATATCTTTACAATCTGATGATGTAAACCTTTGATATTTCAAACTTAGATTATTTGGTCTAACAGAATTCATAGTTTGAAATATCAAAGGTCTACGACATTGGGTAGCAAAGATTTAGAGATTAGAAAAGTAGAGTTTGTGACAAAAACTCAGTTCCTTTACTCAACATAATCTTTTCCCATAACACGTGTATTTGGTTTCACGAGAATTCAACAATTTCACCTGTCTAGTCAATTTTATATCATTTACTTTCTTTTCTTTTAATATTTTAAACTTATAAATACAAATAGACAGCAACAACAAATACTTTTGATCAATATCGTACAATCAATAAAAAAGTTCTTTAAATATTTACTTTCCGTTTCCTCTTCTTCCCCCCGTCCCCTCCCTCCCCTTTTTGTTAAGTTCCTTTCCCCTAAAGGAACTGAGTTCTTGCCACAAACTCTGATTTTCTAATCCTTGATGATGGAAACTTCTAATATTTTAAAGTAAGATTATTTGACATAACTTAATTCCTTAGATTGATATATCAGAGTTCTACGCCATCAGGTTGCAAATATCAATTTCCTTGTCCCTTTCACTTTCTTTCTCTCTAATTTTTTATCTACCTTTCCCATTTCTTTTCCCTTACATTTTTCTTCAATCCCTTTACCCTTTTTTATTTTTTATTTTCCTCGCTATTTTCTTTAACTTTTTACTTTCTTTTCTTCTACTTTTTCTACCTTTTCTTTGACATTTATCTAACTCTTTTCATTACTTTTCTTTGACATTTTCCTACTTTTTTTTGACATTTTCCTTTCTTTTATTTGAAATTTTACTCCCTTTCCTTTTTTCTTCTCCCTTTCTTCAACATTTCCCTACCTTTTCTCTTACTTTTTCTCTTCTTTCTTTTCTTTTACGTTTTCCTACCTTTTTTCTGGTTCTTTTTTTCTTACATCTTTTCCTTACTTTTTCTCTTCTTTCTTTTCTTTTACATTTTCCTACCTTATCTCTTACACTTTCAGTTTCCCTCCATTTTTCTTACATTTTTTCTCATTCTAATCCCGTATAATTTTTATTTTCCTTACTTTAATCCTTACCGTTCTTTATTTCAATTAATTCTCTCCTTGCCTTTTTTCTCTTCTCTTCTCTTTCAGCAAAACTTTTTTACGGAAACAATTAACAGATAAAAAGACAGTTTCTTCTTCACTGATCCATATATTTGAATACACAAGTTTATATTTCTATCACAGACATTACACATTGAAGGAATTAAAGAAGGGGTCGGGATAAACAAGATATGTCCAGATATCCTGAATTCGCGGCAATATGCCAGAATAATAAAATATATTTTAATGGTTTTAATATATTTTCATACACAGGGTGTCTGAAATATCTTGCTAAATGTTTTTATCCAATGTTCGCCTTTTTGTTTATGCTGACCCAAAAGCTTTCAAAATAATTGATAGCGCTTGTTAATGAATATGACCGAATGAAGATTGAAAAATATTTAAGATTAAAGGAACTGAATGAACAAGTATCCGAGAAAAATATATTTTTAATTGAACCACCTTCACTTTTTTCCACTTTGGAGAATGATAATTTTATGCCATACATTTGTTTTAAGATTGTAATATGAATAAATGCACGATTTTTGTCATACCTAAAGTTGAATAAAAGTAAGATTGATTTCTTTAAAAACAAAGGAATTGAGTCTTTGCCACAAACTCTGATTTTCTAATCACTATATCTTTGGAACCAAATGTTGTATACCTTAGATATTTCAAACTATGAATTCTGTTAGATCAAGTAATCTGAGTTTGAAATATCAAAGGTTCACAACATCGACTTCTAAAGATATTGTGGTTTAAAAATTTGATTTTGTTCCAAAGACTCAATTCCTTTCCCCTTCCATCAAATTAAATTTGGTTTAGGCTTAAAGAAATATACTAATTCTGAAAGAATTTTTATCTTTTGATTAATTTTCACTATAATTTATTCCATGCAGAATATAATCCTAAGCAGGGGTAGTTTAATATACTAGGAAGAAGAAAAAATGACTAATGTGGGAAGGATCAAGGTTATTACAAGAAATATTCTTCTTTTCTAGCCAATGCATGGTTGCCTTGTTAACTTTTTGTTCATGTTTCACACATTAGTTCTTCACCTTGGCACAGTGAGCTAATTATTCTCCACATATTCATCTTTGGATTAATACATAATGTTCTCAAAAAAGTGCCATATTCAGAAATAGACAAAAAACATTTTATAATAAAGATCAATTTCAGATTGTTGTGATTCTTACTGATAATTCACACTTTTTCTATCTCACTTATGCTGGTTTGGAGCACTCAGAGACATTTTCAGGCCAATCACAAACATTGTCATTCTCATTAAAAACAAGTCCAGTAGGACAAGGTTTATGATGTTTGACAGAACCCTGGCAGACATAGTACATACTACAGTCTTTCTTATCCCTTGCAAACGAAACATGAGCATCTCCTTCCTCACAAATGACCTCGTCAGGATCAACAGTATCCCGAGCCCCACCTCGTGGGGTCTCATAGGGACCCTCATACACCAAGGGAACTAAGTAATCTTTCAGCTCGTTTTTCATGGATTTAATCAAAGGATATTTTCCAGTTCCACAATATCCTCTGAAATCGTCTAAATCTACAGACCAAACCATTATTCCCCCGAATCCTTCCTCCTTTAGCCAGCTGGTTTTTGTCTTCAGTGATCTTTCATCGTCAAACCCAACCCATTGTTGTCCTCTATATGCAAATGGAACCTGTTGTTCGTTATCCCAGACGAGGGTTGTGTTATCTTTATGAAGAAAATCACAAATTTCATAATAAGAAAGAAACCCCGCTTCTCCAGTATATCGTCCCGGATCACCTCCACTGGTTGCCTGTGCTCCAATATCAAACTGTGTTGGATCCTCCAGAGTAAAGGTTCTACCATACACTGGCATACCGATAATCAGCTTCTCACTTGGTGCACCTTGTCTAACCCACTCTTTAGCGGAGAAATCTACAGTTAATCTCTTCTTGATTCCAGTAGCTGAGTTTAGCGGATATAGAGGACTGTTGTGTCCAACCTCCTTCTCCCACTGCCCGTGGAAATCATAAGTCATAACATTAATAAAATCCAAATATTTAGATATCTCAGGGACGTCATACCCCGCCTCAATAGCTTCAAAACTGGCTGGAACTGCAGCAGTGAGAAGAAGTTTTGGTTCCTTAGAACCCTTGGCCTCGCCTTCAATAGCCAATCTCAGTTCTTTTATTAGAGATACAAAGCTTGCTTTATCATCCGGTCCCCTAGGATATTCCCAGTCTATATCAAGGCCATCAAATTTATGCTTCCTTAAAAACTCAATGGAGTCATAGACAAAACCATTCATTCTAAATATATTTTCTGTTAGAGATTGGAATGGTTTTGATCCAAAGGCCCAACCTCCGACTGCCACAAGTATCTTTAAACTTGGATTCTTCTCCCGAAGTTTCAAGATTCTATCATAACCTCCCAGCTCTCCTTCATCATTTTCCTCAGAGCTGGCCAACTTGTTATCCTTGATGGTTGCAAATGCATACACAATGTGGGTACAAAGTGTGGGGTCAACATCCTCGGGGGTAAATTTTCCCATTCCAGGTCGTTTATAACTCCAGTTGGTAAAGTAACAGAAAACCACTGGTTCTCTCACGTTCTCTGGTAGGACTGGAGTGTTTAACAAAGGAAGAGGGTTCTTTGGTCTGGATATCTTGTTGAGAATTTCTTCAACATCAATTCTCTCTGCAGGGGGAGGTTTGGGACGGGCTGAAATCAGATTAGGATTTAATTTTTCCCAGTCAATATCTGAGGGTTCGATATCCCTTGATACTGTATCTCTGGGAATACCAAATAGTTCTTCTCTCATAGCACCAATCAAAGGATATTTCACTCCGCTTCCACAAATTGTTCCGTTGAAATCATCCATGTCAACGGTCCACACCATAGCGCCTGCATAACCATTGTCCTTTACCCAGTCCATCTTATTTCTGATTGCTCTTTCATCATCAAACCCAACCCACTGATCTCCTTGTACCAGGTATGGAACCTTCATTTCATCGTCCCAGATATAATTTGCTCCATTATGCAACATCTCACAGATTTCATAATAAGATAAGAATCCTGCTTCTCTGGTATATTCTCCAGCTGTTCCTCCCCCCTTAGTTGCTGAGTTTACAGCATAAACTCCAGGATCTGTTAAAGAGAAAGATCTCCCGTAGGTTGGCATACCTATGACTAGCTTCTCCTTAGGTGTTCCCAACCTTGTCCACATCTTTGCTGCAAACTCTACTGAAAGCTGCTTCCTCCATTCAGAATCCGAGGATGGTGCATAAAGTGGAGCATTGTGTCCTGCTTGACTTTCCCACTTACCATGGAAATCATAAGCCATGAGATTTACAAAATCCAAAGCTTCAGAAACTGCTGGAACATCATATCCTCCACGAACATTATCAGGTCCAACAGGAACAGCTGCTGACAGAAGAAGTCGTTCTTTACCACTCTCTTCAGCCTCGTATGTAAAAGCTTCAGACAGTTCTTTGAGGAGGGCAGAGAAGTTGTCCTTGTCAGAGCTCTTTGGATACTCCCAATCCATATCCAATCCATCAAAATTATGCTCTCTTAAGAACTTTACAGCACTGAACACAAATATTTGCCTGGTAAACCTTGTTTTTGCAACTTCTTTAAACTTTGCTGTGCCAAACGACCAACCTCCAATAGCGAGCAGAACCTTTAGATCGGGATTCTTGGTCTTCAAATTTATAACTCGGTCATACAATCCAACCTTTCCACCTCCATTTTCATCATTTTCCTCAAATGAAGCAAGTTTGCCGTTCTTTAACCATCCGAAGGCAAAGATTAGATGAGTACAAAGGAAAGGATCAATATCTTCGGGGAAAAATTGTCCTATTTTGGGTCGGTACTGAGACCAGTTTGTGTAGTAACAAACAAGTTTGTATTTGGAGTCCTTCCTGTTATCGGAGCTACTGATGACATTTGTTCTAGTGCTAGAACTGGATCTGAACCTATCTGGACTCCTGTCTGTGTTGATGCCACCACCTCTGCTCGGTGTAAACCTAGGACTTTCGATGTCCTCGTCCTGAAATCCACCTCTAATTTGAGACAAGGAACCCCTGATATCCTCTTCTTCCTCACTTTCAGCCTCAACAAGAAATACATCATTCTCAGCCGGCCTTCTACGTATACTTGGCCTTTGGATTCTTGATCTTTCTCTCGTTCTGTCAAGCTGCCTTGATTCCTTTTGGGAATTTGTATCCTCTATATCTTGCCCTTGGGAATCCTTGGTTTCTTTACTGTTTACATTTAACTCTCCCTGATCTGGTCTTGCCCTGAGCCTAGGTCTGGATATCCTGGACCGTGATACTTGTGATATAACAGTTCCAACCAGGAGGGCCACCACCACGAAGCGTAGCAACATGGTGGCCGTTCTTATTTCAGCTTTAATTTAGTTTAAGTTACTTTCACTGATTGGTGCGTGCGACTGACTAGCGCACTGTGACTGGTACGGTTTTGTGCGCGCTACTAACCACCCTCCCTCCACCACTTTCCAGGCGCTTACTGATCCTGACCTTTGTATCTAGATCCAGCGCCCAGCACCCTAAACATACAACTAGATAAAGGCCTCAGATATAGAAAGTTTCTTGTATGTATGTATCAACCTTGGCATTGAGATGAGACGAATTGAAATGAGAGGAAAAACTGGCCTGAATCAACCCTATGTATGTAAATTGAAATGATATCAACAGTTTCTGTTGTGTTGATCGAATTCAATATACATTATACATATACTAGATTGAAACAAGGATGAATTGATTTTGCAATACATATGGTAGATAAAATACATGAATATTGTCAGGATCCGTGAACAGGTAATACTTATTAAAGCATAGATATTAGATGTATCTTAACGATAGTTTAAACTTTGAGAAGGAATTTTAGTAAGATATGTAACTTTGTTACAAAACATGAAAGTAAAGTGTTGAGTAAGTTAGGTTTAAAAAAGTAAAGTGTTTAAAAAAGTAAAGTGTTGAGTAAGTTAGGTTTAAAAAAGTAAAGTGTTGAGTAAGTTAGGTTTAAAAAAGTAAAGTGTCGAGTAAGTTAGGTTTAAAAAAGTAAAGTGTTGAGTAAGTTAGGTTTAAAAAAGTAAAGTGTTGAGTAAGTTAGGTTTAAAAAAACTTTAAAAAGTATTGTACTCAATCTTTTACATGTTGAGTAGGGTAAGGAACCTATATCTTGATTAGAAAAACTGTGTTTTGAGTACTGGTATGTGGAACCTTAAAGTTAATTAGGATATATGGAACCGATTTGTTGCACCTGTATGATGAGTAGGGTTAATAGAACCTGTATGTTTTGTAGGCTACGCGGAATCTGTATGTTTATTAGGGTATATGGAATATGTATGTTGAATAAGGTATATGGAACCTGTATGTTGAGTAGGGTATATGGAACCTGTCTGTTGAATAAGTAGGGTATATGGAACCTGTATGTTGAGTAGGGTATATGGAACCTGTCTGTTGTGTAGGGTACGAGGTTATCTCAATAAGTTTTGCGAAAAAAAACCTTTTAAGTATCTCAGGTGTCCATGAGATACTATGATAATAGTGTAATCAGTTTTAAGAATGAACACTGCGTTGATCAAAGGTTCAGTTTGTCATTTAACATCTGCATATAATGAAATACAAGGCAGTGACTACACAATAATATGATTAAACACGTATTCAATAAAGTAAATATATTTCTTTACTTTACTTTGAACTTTAAAGTGTATTCCTGTATGAAGTACATAGAGGATATAATTTAGAGATTGTCAATATAATACAACTACATAAAGGTTAAATACGGTCCTAACTGTATTGTTCTAATATTATAAATGTAAATGTATTAGACCGTAATAACCAAAGAAAATGGCTGGCGAAGAATCGACTCTGTCTTCATTTTTTTAAATAACCCTGTATGTGAAAATATTGCGATACTTGACCTTCCTAAGCTGTTTTAAAGCAGTAATAATTATATATAGATATAATAAAGTTAAATGCAAAATATATTTGATGAACTCCACCTTCCCCTAGGCTAGTTAATCTTTTAACTGCTTAATAATTATCATACATACATTATACATAAAGAATATAAGTTTTTGTAAAAATTAAAAAAAAGCAAAGTCCACAAAATCTAATTTTCTAATACCTAAATCTTTGCAACCATAGATGTTTCAAACTATCAATTCTGAGACTGAATTTAAAGAATTTGAGCCGCGGCTTGAATTCGAAACGCAGCTCAAAATATGTTTGGTTTCACTTAAAATTGGATTCAATGTTTCAAGATTTAAGCCGTCCCTCAGTTGAAACCTGTTTTTGGCGGATTTGAGACGTGCCACAAATTCATTAAATTCAGACTCTGATAGATCAAATAATCAAAGTTTACAATATCAAAAGTTTACACTATCAGGTTGCAAAGAAATAGGGCTTCTAAAATATAAGATTGTGGTCAAGACTCAATTCCTTTCATGCTAAGTTAAAATCTGACATGTTTTCAATTCTAACTTCTAAAGAAAATGCGTTCTTGCCAAAAAATGCTTGATTTCCGCGAAAAATGTGAAGAAAAATTGCTCAAATTGCGAGGGAAAATGGACGTCAATTCTGAGCAAAAACTACACACAGAAAATTATAAATATATAATATAATAAAACTACTACTGCTGGATGGTAACTAAATAAGGAGAGATTTCCACGTAGTAATTTTGTTGCAGCTGCAACTCTAGATTTGTGCGGATTTCTATATGCGTGGATTCTGCGCAAAAGTTTGCGGAATCTCATCCTCTTTCTCCATTTTCTCATCTTCATTCTCCATTTACTTAATCCTCATTCTTCTTTTATCACATCCTCATTCTCCCTTTATCTCATCTTCATTCTTCCTTTATCTCATCCTCATTTTCCCTTTCTTTATCTCATCCTCATTTTCCCTTGTATTTCATCCTCATTCTTCCTTTATCTCATCCTCTTTCTCCCTTTATCTCATCTTCATTCTCCCTTTACTTAATCCTCATTCTTCTTTTATCTCATCCTCATTCTCCCTTTATCTCATCTTCATTCTTCCTTTATCTCATCTTCATTCTCCCTTTATCTCATCCTCATTAACCCTTTATCTCATCCCCATTTTTCTTTTATCTTATCCTCATTCTCCCTTTATTTCATCCTCATTCTTCCTTTTTCTCATCCTAATTTTCCCTTTATCTTATCCTTTTTCTTCCTTTATCTCTTTATCTAATCCTCATTCTTCCTTAATCTCATCCTCATCTCTTCTTCATTATGTTTTCGTCCTAACTTCATTCTATCCTTAATAGATCCATATTCAATCACTATATTATCCCGTTTCCATCTTCATACAAGTATACCCCCCCCCCCGGCCCCATCCATCAGGTTTTTTAAATATCATAATTAGTAATAACTATTATTACTATTGTTGCTCTGTATTCACATTCAACCAAAATTACTAACAAAATTTTGTCTTGTTTATCCAGTTAATAAAAAATTGGACTGAAATTTAGTTTGGTTAACGTTTAAAATTATTTTTAACTAATTGAACAATTTACAAATAGCAAATACCCCTTAAAATTGACTTTTCAAAAGTGCCTTTATAAACAATAGATTTCATGTATGTATTGTTTACAATATTGCCCTCAATTGACAATACTTAATTGGATAAAAAATCACCAAACAGTGCGGCTTGCACCCCTCTTTTTTCCCTCAAATATTTCATTATACGCATTCGGAGCATAGCAAAATGTTCTAGTAAGTCTATTTTTACGTTTTGTTAAGATGATTAACTAGAATTTCACTGTTCTGTTTTAGAATATTATTCGCAGACTTTTAAGTTTTCGCATCCTTTTTTCTATTATTAATTTTAGCTTTAAAGTGAGAGTTTGCGAAAAACTATATTCGAATGCGTCGAAAAAAAATCGACGATTATATGTTGTAATATCTGAATGAATTGTTTGGAATTAAATTGATTCGATTCGAATATTGCAACTTTCTGAATTTGTATGGACTTCAGTATGAGTCGTTTTTAACGCAACAGATAGAATCACCCTCGAATATTTTTCGACGTAAGCTTATACCCCCTTTCATTTTTCGCGAACACTCCCTTTAAATTGTTGCTTTTTATGCCACAATGTATTCTTCGTACATCGTAAAAACTAAATATTTTTTTGCAGATTTGCATATTTTTGTTGACGTTTTTTTTTTTAATTTTGACCGGTCACTACGGGGTCAATTCGGTCATCCGGAGTTACCACATAAAAAAATTGGATCTGATTGCTTCAGTCGTTTTGTCGTTTATTTGATTAAAACAAAAGGCAATAGACAAGCCAAATATAAATATAGATAAAAATGTGACATATTTGGCGGTTTGACTTTTTAAGTCTAAACCTGAAACTAAGCCTAACTCAGTAATGAAATTAAAAACTGTCCTAAATCTGATCCAGACCCTGAAACAGAATATAAACTATAGTTTAATAACGACATAAAATTAAACTTTCTCAAGAGAATTTAATGTTAAATACTAATGCCTAAAGTTAATCATTTCTAAATTTTGTCATTGGTATCTACTATCTAGCACAATTTTCTTATCTCTATCTTTTTAGAAGCATTAATACATTAATTGACAACAGATATATATACAAGTTTTGGTTAAATGAATTGTAAAAAATTCAAAAATGAATTTTTCAGCTTGTTTATCAAATTCTTTTTTTGTTGCATTTTTAGGAAACACTTCCTTTGTTTCTACAACAGGTATCTACATTCTAGAATTCTAAACACTTCCTTTGTTTCTACAACAGGTATCTACATTCTAGAATTCTAAACACATCTACATTCTAGAATTCTAAACCGGAAATATGTATGTTGTATAGAGTGTAGTGTGGGGGAATTAATTCTTAATTTCAGATTACCGGAAGTATAAGACAATGGCGGATACAGGGAATTCCAAGGTAGTATCTATCAGGGAATAAGGGAGACTTATGCAACATCCAAGCTTTAAAAGTAAAATATACGTCGTGGGAACAATATCTGAATAACCTCTTGAAATATCTATCCTACAATGTTTATTGTTATACAAGAACGCACAAGTTTAATATTCAATAGGATCAATACTCTATAGATATACATCTCCCTCATTTTATCTCCCTATACTATAGATACATCTCCCATCTATTATCTCTCTATACTATAGATACATCTCCCATCTATTATCTCCCTATACTCTAGATTCATCTCCCTCCTTTTATCTCTCTATACATTAGATACATCTCCCTCCTTTTATCTCCCTATACTATAGATACATCTCCCATCTATTATCTCTCTATACTCTATACACATCTCCCTCCTTTTATCTCTCTATACTCTATATACATCTACCTCCTATTATCTCTATATACTCTATATACATCTCCCTCTTTTTATCTCTATATACTCTATATACAATACATCTTCCTCCTATTATCTCTATATACTCTATATACATCTCCCTCCTTTTATCTCTATATACTCAATATACATTACATCTCCCTCCTATTATCTCTCTATACTCTATATACATATCCCTCCTATTATCTCAATATACTCTATCTACAATACATCTCCCTCCTATTATCTCTCTATCCACATCTGCATATCCCTCCTATTATCTCCCTATAGTCTAGATACATCTCCCTCCTATTATCTCTCTATCTACATCTGCATATCCCTCCTATTATCTCCCTATACTCTAAATACATCTCCCTCCTATTATCTCTCTATCCACATCTGCATATCCCTCCTATTATCTCCCTATAGTCTAGATACATCTCCCTCCTATTATCTCCCTATACTCTAAATACATCTCCCTCCTATTATCTCTCTATCCACATCTGCATATCTCTCCTATTATCTCTCTATACATTAGATACATCTCCCACCTTTTATCTCTCTATACCCTAGATACATCTCCTTCCTGTTATCTCTCTATCCACATCTGCATATCCATCCTAGTATCTCTTATACTCTATATACATCTCCCTCCTACTATCTCTATATACTCTATAGACATTTCCCTCCTGTAATCTCTCTATCCACATCTGCATATCCCTCCTAGTATCTCCCTATACTGTAGATACATCTCTCCTACTATCTCTATATACTCTATACATCTCCCTCCTATTATCTCTCTATCCACATCTGCATATTTCTCCTATTATCTCCCTATAGTCTAGATACATCTCCCTTCTACTATCTCTATATACTCTATATACATCTACCTCCTATTATCTGTCTATCCATCTTCCTCCAGTTATTTCTTTTTACTCTGTATAAATTTCCATTCTATTATATCTCATCTATATATAAAGGAATAGAGTTTTTGGCACAAATTAAAATTTTTTTAGCCCTTTGTCTTTGCACCCTGATGGTATAAACCCTTGATATTTGATCTGAATTTTGAAATATCAAACGTCTACGATATCTTGTTACAAAGATATAGGGATAAAAAAAATTTGAGGCAAAAACTAAATTCTGTTTGCTTGTTTGCCTGTTTGGTATCCAATAAACGTCATAACGGCTGAACTGATCGGGCATAATTTTTGTTGAGGCAATTCACAAGACCCCATGGGGAAGGTTTACGGATGGTTAAAAGTGGAAAAGTTTACCCGGAAATGTGGATTTTGAAATTTTATAAATCTATCAATATTTACAGTTTTAAATCCGCATTTTGAGTTTTTCAATTCTGAAAGCTATCTCACTCCAACTAGACAAAATGAGAAGGTCAGATTTATGCCACATTACCGGTACGGTTTTGTGACATTGTAGCTTGTTTAGTTTTTATTTTACGCACAAGCTATGGATAGCAAATTCATCCGTTAACATATCTCAAATTTCAGGAAATACCATCTGGGGAATTTTGAGTCAATTCATTTTTAAGATATTACAAAAATTAAGTGCATTTTCTGGTCTAAAAACAAATGCATCTTTAACTTGAAGACTTGATTAAGCTGATTCTGGTTTTTTTATTGCTATATTTTTTGAACCTTTAATGGCACTCATGGAAGGAACTGAATTTTTGCTGCAAACCCAAATTTGCTTATTCGTTTATATTTGCAAACTGATGTTTTAAGCCTTTGATATTTCAAATATGAATTATCTGATCTTACAAAATTCATAGTTTGAAATATCTAAGGTCCATGACATTTAGATGCAAAGATATAGGAATTAGAAAAGCAGAGTTTGTGACAAAGACTCAATTCCTTTTGTGAATTTTCTTTAACAGTCGTAAGACATGTTTTAGCAAAAAAATCAAAGTCATAAGTGAAAAGTATGACTGTTCCTANTATCTATATACATCTCCCTCCTAATATATCTATATACATCTCCCTCCTAATATATCTATATACATCTCCCTCCTAATATATCTATATACATCTCCCTCCTAATATATCTATATACATCTCCCTCCTAATATATCTATATACATCTCCCTCCTAATATATCTATATACATCTCCCTCCTAATATATCTATATACATCTCCCTCCTAATATATCTATTTACATCTCCCTTCTAATATATCTATAAACAATACGCATTTGCTGAAGTTATGTTTTTCATAGGTTTCCGGGGAGACCACCCTTTAATACATGTGTGTCTGTGTGTGCTCTAGTGTCTGCACAGAACCAACAGGTAAAATCTACCATATCTACAAGTAATCGGGCTTCGGGGGATATTATTCTACTTTAAATTCTTTCTAATTTGGGAGTGGCAAAAAAAATAAAGGAAATTTTAAATCTTAATTTTAAGGTTTATTCAAATGTTTCATGAGCCTAAAGTCCAAGAAAAGGCAGTAAACGACAGGTATGGAAGAAGTATATGTATATACACTATACAGGCACAAACACTTGTAACTACCTGCGTTCATGTCTCCTCTACCGACATTGAATCAGTCTTGAAGAATCTGAAGTTTTGACCAAATCCTTTGCTAAAAGTTATATATTTGAAACCCAAGCCAAACACATCATGTAAACCAAGAATAATTACAATCTACAAAATCTCAAATAACGATGCTTAATGATCTAGCTTTTACTCTACCGGAGCAGTGTAATAAGCTCTACCTAGATCTGAATTATGTGATCTATAGAGTTTTAAATCCTTAAACCACAATATGCAACAAAGGGTTGTGATTCAGCAGACATGCATTGTGTAAACTATTTTTTGTATGAAAAATCTCCAAATAGGAATCTGATATGGCGGTCTGAAATACAAGTCTACAGAAGTCCAAGAAGTGTCAGTTCCACAAAACAACTCGGTGTATGCAGTGCAAACCCTAAAGATGGCGTTTATATCTTGTTTTTCTTGTCTGAAGAAACAATCTGAGGAGATCACTGAGCTGGATTATCGTCACAGATCTTTAGACGATGTTCCAAATGATATTTTCAACTTTGAAAGAACTTTAGAAATTCTTCACCTAGACAGCAATAATATCAAGGATCTTCCACGACCGCTTTTTCATTGCCACGAACTGCGGTACCTAGGCCTCTCTGACAACGATATTTGTAGCTTGCCAACTGCTATATCTAGTCTTAGCCAGCTAGTGAGCCTAAATGTTTCTAGGAACGTGCTAACTGATATACCAGAGACGATTAAAATGTGTAAACTGCTTGCAGTTCTTGAGGCCAGTGTAAACCCTTTACAAAAAATTCCCAAGGGATGTACTCAACTGACAAGTTTATCCGAGTTGTACCTGAATGACGTTTTTCTAGAATATTTACCGGCAAATTTTGGGAGATTGTCTAAACTTACAATTTTGGAGCTTAGAGATAACAGTCTTAACACATTGCCTAAGTCTATGACTAGACTAGGGAATTTAAAGAGAATTGACCTAGGACAAAATCAATTTGAAGAGGTAGGTCTTATAAACTTTGTTCTTTAAATTTCTATATTTGTTTTTCTTAGATAATTTTTCTAATTTTCCAACTTATCCAGGTACCAGAAGTGATAGAAAGTATGACACTCTTGGAGGAATTATGGATGGACGGAAACCGTCTCACTGTATTACCAACCTTTATTGGAGTTCTTAATAAACTCAAGCACCTGGATCTAAGTATTAATCAGCTTAAATCTATTACTCCAGAGCTTGGGAACTGTATTCAACTTGAAGACCTGACCCTGTCTACTAATGATCTAAGAACGTTACCGGAGAGTTTAGGAAATCTTGAAAACTTGATAACTCTCAAGATTGAAGATAATCAACTAGAAATGCTCCCAGAACATCTGGGGAATATGATGTCCTTGGAGGAGTTATTTTGTGGTGAAAACTTCCTAACCTCGTTACCACTTTCAATAGGATGGTTGAGAAATTTGCACACTCTCAACGCAGATGAAAATGATCTTAAGCAGTTACCTCCGGAGATTGGATCATGCAGAAATATGAAAATTTTGTCTGTACATGGAAATAAACTACAGGGGTAAGTCTAATTCAAATCATTAAAATTGATAAATAACTTATTTAAAAAATGTTTACTAATTCATAATTGCAATTGCATTGTACATAAGACTCTCGTTTGAAATTATAAGATAGCTAATATACAAAAAATAAACAAGTTTAATTATAATTAATGTGGATAAAAATACGGATAACTCCGTCATAATTAAGCGGTCAAAGTTTAATATGTACCGTTGTAAATCGGGCATATCACTAGATTACCTTTTGCGTATTCATAGTGACCTTTACTGATTTTTCTACCTAGAATAATTAAATATTGAATACTTGTAAAAACTCTTCTTCAGCGGACTATCCTTTCTGGTGAAATTTTACAAACGAATTTATGCTCTTACTCAGAAACTATACACCGTAAAAATGAAATCTAAAAATTGTTCTATAAACTCTATAAACTCTTGGTTTAATTATGTTCTAGAAGGTCTCTCCCTTTAAATGAAAACTCTTAGCCAGATGTAAATGAACATCTTTACATATATATAATGTTTATAATATACAAATAAAATATATTTAACATAAACTTAAGTTTAGTGAGACTACTAATGGTCCAATTATAATGATGTGGTTTGTATAGAAGGAAGATACATCTGGTGCATTATTCATTCAAACTGTTTAAATGTCAGTTTTGTTAAAAAATATTATAATCTGCTATTCATGCATTGCAGACAGGAACTTTTAAATTGAAGAATAAAGTTAATACAAATAAAACGAGGAATTTGATTTACCGACATCCAGGGGCGTACGAGGGCTTTTGTTTAGGAGGGGCATAATGTGTCCCCCCCCTCGTACGCCCCTGCCGACATCCAATAGTAGAAGTCAAGTAAAATATAAACATTTTGGCGCGAAAAGTTATCAGGATTTTGCCAAAAGATATAAATAAGCGCTTTGCAACTTTAAATCTTTATAGTAAGGCCTAAAGACGTATTTGTGTGTGGTGATGAAACAAAGAGGAAAGGCCTGGCAACAATCTAAAGTTTTATTTTCATTTCTCTATAGTTAATGTATACGAGGCGAATTTCATCAAGAAGGAAACAGTATGAGAGAGCCAAAAGGCAATCAGTCTTTGCTACAAACTCTGAGTTTTTGTGATCCGAATATCTTTGCGAAACATTTCCCAGACCTTAGAAGTTTAAAACCATGAATTCTGTTAGATCAAATAATCAAATTGTGAAATATCAAAGCGTTGCGCCATCAGGTTGCAAAGGTATAGGGATTAGTTAAGTCTTTCGTATCCTTAATTCACGAGTTTGATGATCTTGACTTTTTAAGTGCACCCTGCGAGATTGTTGGCTAAAAAGACTTAATTTTTATAGAATAATAATGTGAACCGAAAAATTGACGGGTTTAGAGTTTGGATCAAGCATTTTTTGTAATCTCTTTTATTTAGGATACCGCGAGAGCTTGGACAAATAACTCAAATATCAGTTCTGAACCTGGCAGGAAACTGTATTCCTCATCTTCCTCTCTCCTTTGTTAAGTTGAAAAGTATCACTGCAATATGGTTGTCTGAGAACCAAACCAAACCACTGGTTCATCTTAACCCTGATACTGATCCCTATACTGGAGAAAAAGTTCTTACTAACTTTCTTCTTCCCCAACAGGTTGGCATTTAAAAACAAATTTTCATTTTCGTGTTATGCTCAATGGGATAGCCATGCAACCTAAATTCAAGTGACCTTTTATCTAAAAATTTAAGTTTTTTTTTGGAAAGAAGTAAATCATTTTCTTAGTTCATCAGTCCTGTAGAAAGAAAAAAAAATCTGAAAATTAAGATATTTCCATTCATGATAAAATATTAAAAGGATTTTTTCTATGCGTTCTATGAGTTGAAAAGTTCTTTAAAGGGAGTGACCGGCTATGTAAGGTAGTTGAACTGAGTATGCAGTGTTGTGGAAAACTTCTTTCGGATTCATTTGAGACATATTAACTTTTTAAAGATCTGTAAATCCTGAGTTTGAGCCCAAATTCGACGTTCAAAACTCCTACTTTGGGGGTGGATACGTTTTCAGAATTACTTTTTTTTAAATTATTAAATAGCGACAACGAAAAATAAAGTAAAAATTATACAGTAATCTAATTAGATGGTTATGAACATAGATCTCAAAAGAAATTTGTCAATAAATCAATGCTAAAATCAATTATTTCGTTTTCATTATTATATTGAATTTCTTTTTTTCTTTGAATTTCTTCGCAGATTTTTTCAAATTCTTCAAATGTCGTCTTTTCAATAATAATTCTAGCAAATCTGCGAAGATCTTTGTAAATAATGAAGAACCAGAATAATGAGAAAATAGAAACTAATAATTGAACAAGATTACTTATTTTCGATGATAAGATTAATTTTTATTTATTTTTTGTTCCTATACATGACGTCTGTAGGTTATTGTAGAACTTTTTTTACATTTTATGTCGTCGGTATTTAATAATTTAAAAAAACTAATTCTGAAAACGTATCCACCCCCAAAGTAGGAGTTTTGAACGTCGAATTTGCGCTCAAACTCAGAATTTACAGATCTTTAAAAAGTTTAATATGTCTCAAATGAATCCGAAAGAAGTTTTCCACAACACTGCATACTCAGTTCAACTACCTTACATAGCCGGTCACTCCCTTTAAGATAAAAGTTCATTATGCCTTGAAAAAAACCGTTTAGGAATTACATAGATTTCAATTCATTGAATTGTTTGGTTTAGATTGAAGGGGAACGGGAGGGAGATACAATATCAGAGTCAGGAAGTTTTCATGCAGCAATATGGGAGGAGGAGAGAACTAAAAGATCTCTAGTAAAGTGGGCGGGAGAGGAGCAAGATCTAGATAAAACTGGAAACCTCAGACGAGCTCCAACTCCGTTCCCGAAGGAAATGAGAGCAATGGCAAAGAAAGTTGAAAACCTGCGAGAGAAAAGAAGAATGACCGAGGGCCCTGGCCAGATTTCTCCCAAAAAAAGGGTAATAACAAACTGGCATAGACACCAAAGATTTAAAAATAACCTTTTATACAATCATTGTTTCAGGATAACGTTTTTAAACCAAAAACTGGCGGACGAAGGAAGCAGAAGCGTGAAGGTCCCGATACTCCGGATTTAATCAATACAAACATGAAAGATATGAAACCTGGAAACCTGACAAAATCACCTATTCTATCAGATGTATCAGGGAAAGGTGGAAGTATTGAAAGTGGGGATCTTGACGGGTTGAAGGTATCGGACAATGTTTCTCGTGACTCAGGAGTAGTAACCTCCAGTCACGCTGATAGTGTGGAAACCCAGGATCATAGTTCTACAATTCTCCCAAAATCAGAGCTATCGGTCACTACGAAAACTAATATTCTTAATCAAGGTTTAAACTTCAAACAGGACCAACAAATACATTACGAAACATTTGGAAACCCACCCGATTCCTTCAATAATGGACCTACTCCAGTTCGAGCTGAGATTATCACTAATGAGCTGGATGATGATCCTCCTCCTTATCATATAGCAGCTGCTAGGTCTAGGCATGCAGGGGACTTTTTATACATACAGAGAAACTATCCTCCTCCTAGCTCAGAAGAAGATCATTTTTACGAAAACCAGGTTATAAAACAAACAAAAAATTATAGTTAATCTTTTTTTGATTCATAAAATAATTTTTCTTTTAACAATATAAAACGTTTTGTGGTCTACCAACTAAATGTAATATAAATAATTTCGTGCATGTTTTAGAACGGGATGAAGAGTAAGAAACAAGAACGAGATTCTGCATCTTTGGCAAGACAGTATAGCTTTCAAAGTGATTCCACCTTTGAGAGTATATCCGAGTCTGAGACCTCTACGGCTCCGTCTAGTTTACAAACTATAGTTAGGGCTCCGTATGCCAACCCTACACAACCGTATACTGGAATATTAGAATACAATTCTTCTCCTGAGAGTAGTTCCTCTGCTCATATGAACGATAATGATCTAGAGAGAGGGAAACCAGGAAAAATCCCGGACCTTGTATCTAGTCCAGGAACAACAGAAACCGAGGGAGAATTTACCTTTGCAAACAATCTCAGAAAAGTATCGGAACAGATTCTGACCGCAGGAAGAAAAAGGACTAGTATGTCTGGAAGTAGACCTGGATCTATCGCAGTTTCATCAGGATCTCCGAGAGACGTGCAGAGTAGAGTTCTTGGACCTAGCAGCATAGGACAATCCTCGTCTAGTAGTTCAGATAGTCGACCTGGTAGTCAGCTCAGTCTTGCTCCTCCTCCTCCTCCGCCACTTCCTTCTTCTCTATCGGGATCTAGACCTGAGAGCAGGGTCGGACAACCAGTATCCAGAATCCCAGTACTTTCTTCTCCTTTACCTGGAAAAGAGTCTAGACCTGGATTTTATCCAGGACCACCTAATACAGTTGGTTTACCTCCTGTATCCAGTAAACAACAGCATCAGTTAACAATTGACTTATCTGTTATGAATCTCAACTACGCTAAATATGTTAATCCTAGTCCTTGTGCGCCTAAACTAAATCATGTTAGCGCTCAGTCTGAACTATACCCAGACTCGGGTCTTCTTTCAACAATATCACAAGCAGCACTAAGCGACGATGAATCCCCTCCAACAACCCATGTCTCCAATCCGCCGAAGTTTAATACAGCTTCCTTGTCTATACAAAATAAAGTTGTGTTAGAACAACCTAACTATGAGAATATTGACCCACCACTTCACAATGGCCGGATAAGACCAACCCAAAACGTTCTTTCTAAGACAGATAAATCAAGACATGAAAGAGCTCCTGCCACACGAGCTAGTAGAGTGGTATCTCCACTTGAGCCTGGTATGGCCCAAGGACAATTTAGGCCAGCCGCTGTTCAGGCCAATGTGTTTTCTATACCCGAGGATCCAGGGGATTATCTAGCAATGAATGTAAAGAAAGGATCCATGTTTCCATCCAAGGGATTAATACCCCTAGCTTGTTCTTCTCCAGCTGATATACCAACATTCAAGTCAAACAAATCAAATATATCAAAATAATATGTATATTTAATTACAAAAATAAAGTGATTGTTGTTTAAATAATGGTTTCGTGCATTTCATGGAATCAAAATTTGAGGGGACTGATTTGCCTCAAATTTTGATTCGGAAACTCAACTAACATTTCTTTAAATGATATGTTATTACAGGGAATCCCAGATATAGGAATACAGAGCAAGAGTTTTTTATAATGTCGTATTACATATTTAAGATCAAATGCCGCGGAAAATGAGTTTAATATTAATATATCAATTGCATTCATGTTTCAGGGCTATATGCATTTTGCAAGTTAGATAGGAACAATATTATATAATCTAAGTCTTCCCTGCCAAGGGATCAGCTTTCTGTTTTCGGAAGTTTTTCGTTCCTATTTTCAGAATTTTGTGTTCCTATTTTTTTAATTTTTTGAGACAAAAAGAAGAAAATGAACAAATGAAAAGAATTGGAAACGAAAAATGAAAGAAAGAATGAAGAAAGAAGAGAAAATTGGCATAAAATCAATTTTTTGTGTAAAGCATTTTTTTTCTTCAAATTAAAAGAAAATTGAGTGCTTTCTGAAATAAGTTTTTTGGGAAATCCTATTTCTATCCTGTCTTGTGAAATGATAGGGTTTAAATATTTTTTTGTATTTGGAGAAACTTATCCTATTTTAAAGAACTAGCCTTAGAGGCGCTTCGCGCCCATCTTCTAAATTAATTGTGAACATGTTCTCTTTGTGTACATCGTAAAACAAAACAAAATAATTCGCGGATTTTCACAAAAAAATTCGTGGACTTTCAAAATTTTAAAAAATTTAATGAAGATCGAATTTTGATGGAGACAAATATTTGAAATTTCAATCATTCATAAACCTTTCCTGGGGTCCCTAGATGTCCCACAAAAAATTTGGGCCCAATCGGTTCAGCCGTTTTTACGTTTATTGGATACAAACAGACAGACAGACAGACAGACAAGCCAAATTTATATATAGACTAGAAATTCAAGGCGCTTCGCGCCCTTCTTTCTAGGCTTTTAGGGCGCTTCGCGCCCATCTTCTATTTAAATTAGGAACATGTTCGAATTGTTTACATTTCAAAACAAAGATGAAAAAAGTTTTGCGGATTTTTAAAAAAAAATTCGCGGATTTTCAAAAATTAAAATTTTTTACAAAATTAAAAACCTCTTAAACACAAATTTTTAAAATTTCAATCATTCATAAACCTTCCCTGGGGTCCCTAGATGTCCCACAAAAAATTTGGTCCCGATCGGTTCAGCCGTTTTGACGTTTATTGGATACAAACAAACAGACAGACAGACAGACAAGCCAAATTTATATATAGAAGGTTAAGAAGGTTAGCGGCGGCTATCAAATTTGTTTGACCTGAAAACCTCAATGAAGGTAAAAATTTACCGACTAAGACTAAAAAACTGGATTTTTAACATTTTACACATTTTAGTTTAATTTAGATAGATATTTTTCTTTCACTCCGCGAGCGATCGAGAAGTTAAAGGCATGAGAAAAAAAATGATTTTTAATATTTCCTTTAAAACTAGACTAATTGAGGAATAATTTGATGTCATAACTCATATATCATAAAACTCTGTCCAGAATACATATTATTTTGAGATTTGTGTTAAACTATTAATAAATGAATTAGGGAAGATTTTTGTACGCGTGAATAGCCAAGATGGCATCAAAAAGCTAAAGGAAAGGTTGACCATGAACCCAACGAACACAAACACGTTTAAAGGGACTGTAAAGGAAAAATGAAAGAGGGTAAAGGATGAAAGCTGAGGTTCTCAGCTTTCATCCTGTACCTCGTTTCATTTTCCCTTTACAGTCCCTTTAAAAGAAGGATAAAAGCATCTTCTGGGATACCCTGTAGAGGTCGTAGAGGATTATAAACGGATGCAATAAACTTCTCCCAATTTTATCAATTTAAATACGTTTTTCTAAAAACTTCTTCATCCTTATTAAAATAGACTTTGTTATCTATCCAACCACCTTTTTATCCGCTAGATTTTTAACTTTTCACTCATTGTGTTATTTAAACGCTATTTGCATTAAAACTAAAAAAATATAATGTAATAATCATACTGATAAATCATTAAACTCTGATCAGAATAGATTTTATGTAGAGATTTGAAGTAAACTGTAAATAAATGTATAGATTACTGAAACTTTGCATATTGCATAAAGAAGCATGTATGTCTACTACAAGGAAAGTGGCCTCAAAAAGGATATAAATGCCTGTAAAAGTTCAAGAAAAGCTCAGACATGAAAACCTTCAGTCTTCTTAAAACTGAAGTTCGAATTTGAGAAAAACTCTCTTGCAAGCTTGAGTATTAGACATGAGGACAAACAGCTCCTCCTAGACCTGGCCATATTTTATATTTAATTCATATATATATTTTAACTTGTCTCCATATTAATACTTTTTTGCTGTAAGCTAGATAGTTCATTAAAATCAGTAATCTAATTATCTAAAAGAAGGGAAAAGCCCTTTCAATTATTTAGACAGGTCGAAATACAAATTCTCAATCAATTAAGTTCAAAAAGCACCAAATATGTTACTTTAATTTGAAAAAATCCTGAACACATAATATTGTATAACTTAAAATTAGATTATTTCCCAAATTCCATAGACGGTTATCACTTAAAACTTAATTAAGAGTCTGATGCAATTGCTAATATTATTGTGCTTGGGAAAAAAGGAAAATCCTTAAGTTAAATATTTTATACAGTGATAACCAAAAATCAATGGAATATAAAGATGACATTATAGCAATACTCAAGCGTTATGTTAAAAAGCAAATATTTTTATTAGTAAAACACTATTTAAGTGAAATAGGTCCATTTACACGGTACAATTGCTATGTCTAATGTTTAAACTTACATTTATTTTCTTGTCTTATCAATTGACAGTTTGTTCATTTTATGACAATTCTCAAATTCTTTCATCAGACTTTAATCTTATTATCGGGGTTTTATTTAAAACCCAAATCTGAGTTTAGCATGTTTGACCCATAGTTAAGGAGAGTTTTATGTATTATTGAATTAAGTAACTTTCACAGGGTTGAGAAAAGGGGGGAGCAGGGTTGGATATTTGGGGGAGCAGTGGATCAGTGGGAACAAATAATTTAAAGGGGGAGCAATGTTTAGGAAAATGGGGTGCACTGCAGGGTTGGGAACACTTTCTCATAGATATTTTTTTACTTTCAACGCAGGGGCGTACGAGAGCATTTGTGTGTGGGGGGGGGCACATTTTGCTCGCGTCAGCGCGCAAAAAAAAATGTTGTGCTCCCCCTTGGCAACATTGTGCCCCCCCCCTTAAAAACCCATTTAAAAAAAAAACTTAAAACTGTGGTGTAAGCTTTAATGAATGAAAAATATAGATGGAAACGTTTCTAAAAAAATATCTATATTTTCATTGGATTGATACATATTGTATAATAAATTATGATATCAAATATATATTTACACTGAAGGCAGTATTGATTAAAGCTTTTTTGATGAAACTTTCTTTAGTTAAGGGCAAAAGTAAGATTTTAAAGTATTTTTTTCTAAATACGATGTAATATACTTAAATAGAATACATTCGTAATTTCAAGTGACCCTCCATTTATAGAGTGGCATGTCCGATGTACCTTTGAAACCTTCATTTTTCCATCGTTTCTGAAGCAAGAAATGCACGAGTCACTTTTGTAGAGAAACCACAAATAATACTATTCAGTTTTCAAAATGGGAAACATGGATTTTTAATGCAATACTTGATCAGACAAAGCTTTGAAGGGTATTGTTGTGAATCAGAATATATTTTAATTCTTTTCTTAATCTTTTAGTTTGGGTGAGTGCAATGCAATGCAATGTAGAATCTAGATTGCCTGAGGAAGATGTAATATTAAAAGAACCCCCCCCCCC